AAGATTAGGTGGCGTCTAGTTTTATAGCACAGTATTGAGTTGGATTTGAGTACAAATGAAGGCTTTTCCTGACAAATAAGAAACTATTTACCAAATGAAAAATGTAATGTGGGACCCAATTTCTGATGGAAGGTTTCTGCCCACAGTGATAATGATCTAAAGATTTGATCTTATCAAATTGGCGCTTAAAGGCACTTTACTCTTAAGTGGTTTACAGCAGATTATCTAATGTGGTGTAATCATGTTGAACTAGATACTTATTCAAGCTTAAGCACAGCTATTTAAGCTCTGCCTGTGATTGTCCTTGGTCTCTTGGTTTCAGTCAGTCAGAGTGAATGTACCTTGTATGATTTCACAGTGATTTTATTTTTTCATCATTGTTCAAGTCTGTACAATTCAAATTAAGTGTTGTCCTCAATCCAGATTTGAAATTCAATCTGATACCACCCGGGGGATTTTATTTTTTTTCTTAAAAAAAGGGCGTTTGCGGTCAGCAAGTGATGGCTCCATTAATCATGATGCTGGAAGCAAACGTTTGTAACTTCATGTGGAAAGACAGGATCTTTTTACCATCCAGTATCATTGAAAACTGAGTTAGTATTGATAAACTACCGATTCCTTAGATTTACACTAGATCTTGTTTCAATTGTAAACATCATCTTGATGAATTTCATTTGTTTCCAGTTTGTTCTGAGAAAACCGTGCTCTTGCTCACAATGAACTGTTTCCACTTTTATATTCTTGTATTGCAGGCCTCAGTCATAAGGTCAGTCATTTATAGCAGTCTTCTGTTCAGGGTAATATGAACCAGAGTTTCAGAAGGCCCTTATATATCATCCATTGGTAATGTTAATAAATGGCATTTTATTATTGTGATATCATGGCAGTTGGCTGCTGTAACCTATTAGTCTGTGCTGTGCTGCAAGCAAAAGTAGCTTTGCACTGTGTCATGGGGCCAGTTTAATCCTTAAAGCTGAGCTGGGTGCCAAGAATCTTTTATGTTAAACTGTCAGAGGAGACACAATATAAGGGAGCCATCTAAAATTGTCTTTCGGTTAATATTTGTAGAATCTTAGAAATTTTAGTACATAAGGAGGCCATTTGTATCATCATGCCTAAGCCAACGCTAGCTTCACTTTGCTGCTATCTACGCTAATCCCAATTTTCTGATTTCCTTTTAAAGCATCTTTTTATATTTTTAATTTCCATAAACTTCTTCTGAGAACTATTTGGGAAGTTCAGTGGTGTTGTTGTCGTGGGGCAGATGGAAGGTGACAGTGGGCTGTTCAGTATAACTAGTTGTTGATGCAGGTTCTTTACCATCAATATACAGTAGTCGAAAACTAAATCAGTATTGATGATCTGCAGTTCCCATACGTTTGCAGTGGATCCTATTTCAATTGCGAATGAGTGGGACAGTTTGCATGTCACAATTACTCACATTAAGCAGCCATATTAATCATATTACAGGAAATTACTTCTGCAATTTTTTTTTTACAAATTGCTCCAAACGAACATAGTACATTGTTCATTTCTGTTGTGTTTGTATGAGTGGTTTAATAGTCCACTAATGGGTCCCGCTACCCAAGAGATGACTTTCTCATGTTCAAGCCTATTACCACTGTCCAAAGCTCAGACATTTACCCACTGGTCGCATCTACTGTGTGTTTCCAAATACGAATGCAGTTTTCTTCCCCCCCCACCAACCTGAAATTACTTGTGGCCACTGTTTTTATAACATCATATTCCCTTCCGATGACAGATTAATGGAGCTGGAAAAACAACAGCTGCTTCTACTGTCTGAAGCTTCAGTAGGCTTGTCAAGTCTACTGTCATTTCAGTCACTAAGTAAGCAACTGTTTGGATTTCAAATGATGCACGCTTATTAATTTGCTTCTTTTATGCACTGCCTGAATATTCCTGCTCTATTATAAACTAATTGCAACCTATGGCCGATTTGGCACAAACTCAAGTCATGTCATAGCGATAGGTAGAAGTGAAGTGCTTTTAAAACCTCAGTGTGATTTACCTGATGTTACCTATTTGCTCGTAAGATGACACTAATTCCTGATGTTACAGAATCTGTCCTACTTATCTGTTCATTGTTATTGTACATGGTAAAGTGTCAGAAAGCCCTTCCAGTGTTTTTCCAGTGCTTTGGCGAAAAAACTCCAATAATAATTTTTATATTGAATTACTGAAATGACGTTCTCTATTTTTAAGAACTTAACTGTTGCCCACTTGTTTCAATCTTACCTTTGGGACTTTAACATAATTACTGCTAAGATATTTTGACCCTTCCTAATCAGAGTTATGAATATATTACGGTAATAATAATCTGTGTTTTGGTTAGTTCTTCTGCATACCAAAGGCCTTTCCTGCTAATAGGTGCCAAGTATGACAGGCTGGTGTTTTTACTCGGCCAAACTCTAGTTCCAGTATTTGGAGTGTGTCTTTGTTTTTATATTTGCATCCTTGTTATATTGATCTTGGTGGGGAGTTTTAGATTGAGAATGTTAGGAGGAAAATTCAGCTAAATGTAGCTCTGGCTCAAGTTCTCTGAGGTTTCATTAACTACCAAAAATATTCTGGTCTGCAAATTATGTCCGACCAGTTTTATGTGCAACTAAATAAATAATTCGGGAGTTTGTTTGCCGTAGTTCACTTTTTGGTCAGTATTTTATACATTGCACATAGGACATCACTGCATAGGCAGGGTTGTCGTCCTTGCTTTTTAAACTGCTCCACATTCACAAAACGTACACAAAAACTAAGTGGAATGTAATTAAAAATATAAGCGAATTAAATTTTGTAATGTGATGAAATTGGTTCTGAGGAAGTTCAAAATCTTATTTTTTTTACACACACGCACACAATCAATATGTTGCCTGTCTGGTGTTTTTTTTAAACCTTGCTCTCTCCTGCCTGTCTGAAGTGGTTTTAATTTTGTTTCTCGATCTCACTTTCTCTTCATCTGTTCGGTTTTACTTCCTATTTCTAAATAGTCACTTTTTTTTCTTGCCTCTGTGCTCATCTGCTTCCCTCTCCATCCCTTTATAATTGCTATACATTATAAATGCCTCATTGCTCTGGTTACTTTTAACTTGGTCTTGTTTCTGTCTTATGCGTGTGTGTTTTGCTTACATTTGATCACTTGGCTGATGTGGTTGCATTTCTGGTGAATTCTGTTTGTTTTAAATTTGAACGTGGGGCCAGGAATAGTAACGTAAGTTACACGGGCTATTATTAATGGTTGTACACTTTGCCTTCCTTTTGTATATTTTAAAAGATGTTAAAAAGTGACAAGGGTGCTGAGCAAACCTTGGAAGGTTGCTATTATCATTTCAGCATTAACATCAAAATAGATCTGATTATTTTGTGCAAGATTAAACAGAGCTTTTAAAAAGCAGACTAAAAGCATTTTCAATTTGAAGGTTATTTACTAGCCTTTCTAGCCAACTAAAATATCATTCAGAGGGCATGATTTGTGTGACATGGTTCACTAATATAATTAATAAATGATTAGATTTACTGTAAAAGGAATTAAGCATACAAAGTTAACGTATCAAGTCCTTTAGTTGGCCCCTTCAATTCCCCAGTACAAGTGGAGTCTCTTATTTCTATTCAATCATACTACTTGATTGTGATTTCAACCACTAGTATTTCTTCTCTCCCTCAAGTCCATTACAGTTTTCAAGAACTACTTCCCTGGCTCAAAAGACAAGCAATAAACTCTTCCATGCTTCAGATGCCAGTCATGTGCTAAATCATCTCATGCCGCTTCCCCTCGTATGTCTTTGTGCATTTAGAGAAGATTTTATTCATAATAAAAATAATTAACTTTAAATTTGATACAAAGTCTTCCAAGACGGGAGGACATTTCAAAGCTCTTCACAAGCTATACTATAAAGTGCAGTATAGAGTGTGTGTTTTGTAGGCGAATTTGAAATAGAAGTGTGTTTTGTTTGGCCACAGTACCCTGGTGTCACTAAACTGCTCCAAGGAATTCATCTGAAGGTAAAATTGTGGTGCTGGGAGCAAAGTGACAACAGTGGAGTGATGTGGAACAGAAACCCTGATTTATACTGCACTTCCCACTTTACTTCGCATTTATGCTTTGAGCTTTCAGGGATCTTAAGTAACCAGATTTTGAATATCATATTTCCAAAATATTTCAGGAACGTTTTCCCTCTTTCCTAGAGGAAAATATAGCTTGACCTGTATCGTACTCTGTGGCACAGGCCAATAATGTATCACTCTATCACTTCACCCAGCTATTCTTAATATTGGTTGCGTATTGTAACTGTTGATGTAGCACAAGCCTAGAATGTTAGAATAAGGCTCATTTACCTGATAAATAAATGAAAGTAAAGGGCTGACTTTCTCATGCGCCTTTGCTAGGAATAAACTAAAGTGGGAGGAGATGTTAACTGCAGTGATAGTTTGAGCGTATGATTCCATTTCATTCCTTTCTTGTTTCCTTATTTTTCATTCTTTCATTTGTTATTTAGGCCAATAAGCCAATAGCAAGGAGTAATTTGCCTACAAGGCTCTCAGAAAAGAGAATATGCCAAGAACGACTTTAAACAGGATGGGGAGTGGGGGACGTAGGACTGTGTGTAGTATCACATTAGTTAACTTCTAGTCAAATAGTATTCAAAGTGCATTAATAAAGTGCCTAAGTTACAATGACTCCCACTGGACCCCATAAGCTCATAGTACTGGATGTATAAAGCAGCACACTGCATCGGTATATTATTTGTAAGGCATTTGAGGGTTGCAAAATAGGGCTTCCATTATTTGATCTACGTTATGCCTTTTCTCTGGCCAACTGAAATAACATGAAGTAATATGTTAAAATGTCAAGGGTATAATCACGTTTTAAGTGTTTAAAAGCTATAAAGCTCAATTTAATATGAGCCAGTAGAAGACTGTTTGGTATATGTGCTTTGCAATGAATTAATAAAAGCCAATAGTGTATTTTCCCATTAATTTTGCAGGATTACACTGCTTGGTTCTGCAAGACTTCAAATCCAGAATTTCTCTCGCCAAGACGCTGGCCTGTACGCATGTACAGTATCGAGTGAATTGGGGACAGATACTGAAACATCATTACTGTTGTATTCAGGTCATTTGCAACTTGCTTTTGTTAAACATTACGTAGAATATAAAATTAAGGTTATAGCATTAATATACAAAAATCTGAATTCAGCAAGTATTTTTGATATTTTGAATCTAGCGCCTTGGGACATTCTCCTGGTGAGAAAAGAGCTAAACAAATGCAATGTGTTGTTGTTGATAAGTTTTATTAAACCAATACAAATATGCCTATATCGGCACCTATAGTATTATAAAATAATTAATAGAATTAATGATCATCATACTGTCTTTTTATATTGTGATATCCCCATGATAAATAACTCGTGTTGTTATGTCTGATATGTCCCAATATTTATTACGCAATTAAAAAATTGTTATTTGTAGATTTACATTCAGATGAATCTGGAATGTACATGAAAAGCCCCTAAATAAGTTATTGCGGTATGTCACAGAGCAAAATATTGTGACCTTATAATTTAAAGAGATGGATTTATGAAACATGTTAAATGTTCTTTCACTTACTCTGTCTTTCTCAATACAAGCAATACAATTTTCATTACACTTCAAGAAACACTTTGTTTTAAGGTATAATTATCCACCCAGAATATTAATCCATTAGAATGATCCAAGAAACTTTATTTCGATAATTCTTGTATTTGATATAGCACCTAAAACATCAAATGCCTCAAAAGGCTTGACAGAGTTTCTCTGTGAGATGTAGTGACTACGTATTTTACGCACAGCAATATCACCCAAATAGCCATGAAATTACTCCATAACTGTAATTTTACCTTTGTTCTCCAGAAATACCTGTTATCAGATTCTCCAGAGCAAATATCACAAACCTCACAACGTGGCATTTATCCGCAGTTGTTGGCAGTGCTATAATTGCTCGACTTCGGGCAACCATCACAATTGAATGCCCAGCAGAAGGTGAGTATGGGTGGGTGGGTGGTGGGGGGGACAAGTATATCTAATCTTTTCCGAATTTGCAATATGTCACCTTAAAGGCGTAAGTCATCTTTATTGAACAATTGAACTATTAGGACAGTTTTAGTGCTACAAATAAATGTTTTACACAGTCTCACAATTAGCCAAGATCCTGATTAATCTGTGGTGTTGAACACAACACCTTGTGGGAACCAAAATATCTTTGCCATGGACCACTCACGGGACCTTTTTAAGCTTTGACTTCTGTTAAACTAGTGTAACCTGCTCGCTTTTCGCTTTGACATTGTACTGTTCAAAGAATTTATTACACAATGTATTAGTTTCCTGCAGTGCAGGCCTCCCACTGTTCTGCACGCAAATTGCATGCCTGTGGCTTCCACATAAACACGATGCACAGAATCCCTTTGTTGATGTTGTACCGCAGAAGAACCGGCTTATTACAATGACACTTGTAAGTTATGGGGCTCTTCCGACTTTTTACTGTCTTCGAAAAGGGAAAATTATGTTATGGAAGGCATGTGTTCTTTCTGGATTTGATAAAATATTCAACCATGTGTGGAAGAATGCCCCCCAATACTTCATTAAGCTTCCGACTGCTTGAAACCAGTTCAAATGCTTTGTGGTGCAGGAGTCGTGGCATCAGTAGGAATGTGGAAACAGCTGCACATGCACTGGGAAATGCTGTCCAGGATAGTGATGCTAAACCCAGTGTTGCTGTCCTGTCAAGGTGATCAAGATATATTGTGGCTATTGCACCCAGCTTCTCAGGAAATGTTGTTCAGAGAAGGGATGAAGGTCCACCTTGAGACCAGTTGAGCTACTTTCAGAGGTTGATTCATTTAGAGAAAACACTACTGTTTGGGACAAAGTTGGTGGTGATACTGTAAGCAAAAGGGGCCATAAATAACAACACACACACATTACTGGGTTGGGGACCATACTTTCTAACTGAGTCATAAGAATAATTTGGCTAGCCATGTGTTGTTATGTAAACAAAATGTTAGACCAGATCCCTGGTCTGGCTTGACAAATTATGTCAGGTCTTTAAACACTAAATTTAATGTGTATTGCAATATGGAAACTGTCATTGTTGTGCCCCCTTGTGACAGGATTAATTGGTTCAAAAGACTGCAAGTAGGGCTTTTTCCAGTCTGGTCAGTGTTTGAATTTCATAAATACTATTTTGCTGCACGATGGAATCATGAACAAATTTTGCTGCTACAGAGATACTTAAAATAATCTTTAAAATGAGTACTTTACTCAGATTGTTTTGTTTTGCGCTGTCTGTGAAGATAAATGCAGAGGCAAGATTATTTTTCTTGAGTTGGACAAGCAGTCGTGAAAAAATAAATCAAGCTNAAAAAAAATTGAGGAGATGAAATGAGATTAATAACATTGAGAGTTTAGCGTATTTATTACGTAATCTTACAGAAGTGCATTTGTTTTAACAGGGTTTGAGTCAGTTATATATTTTTCACATGTAATATAAATCAGCTGGAGTGAGAGCTGTTTTGATTTTTGAGCACGAAGGAATAACAAAAATTACTACTTAGAAATAAAAATCTTCCAACTGTGTATACAACGGATGTGCACAAATCCAAAATACGTTTTCGTTGAATGGTGAACTTTTACGAGACAGGCATTATGATACTCCAAGAGTTCAATGCTACATCATACTGCAATATGATTTGTATAATTTGTAAGGCAGCTTTTCAGATTTAGAATTATGTGCTGCCGACATCATTAGCAGCTGGAAAGGTGCCCCTCTCAGCGTCAATGAAAATAGAACCAAAAAATGATTAATGTTTTGTTTCTTGCTGTTAGGCTTCAACCATTTGGTTTCTGTGTCAGAACTTAGAATTGCAACAGGGCTGAGTTTAAAATGGTACTTGAGTGAAAAGTAGCCCAATGCAAAACAAAAGAAGAAACTCTCATGGATAGTTGGTCATTTTGGCAGAAAAATGTTTTACCTATCTTAATTTCAATCGGTGCTACATTTACTGCAGGCTAACATTCTGGCTCTGTCTTTGAATACATTTTATTGTGCAAAAAAAAATCAAACTGAAATCTGCATTAAAGAATACTTTCTTTTGTATCTTTATCGCTCAGCCACTGACCGACTGTTATTGGGAAGAACGTTAAGTATAGTCATGCTCATTAAACTAATTCTTGTTTTGGGTCTCTAACTGATGGAACGTCTCTGGTTATTTTCACTTTGGGTATATTACATTTTTAGAATTATATTCCCTTTGTCTTGTTGCAAAAAGTAATTCGGATCAAGTTTCATTCTGTTAATAAACTACGTGAATTACAATGCTACATAGCTGACAGATATTTGTACATATGGATGTAGTGGAACGTATTTCAGAAACGTAGCCAAAAGGCCTAATAATGAAGCTTTATACTTTAATGGGACTAAGGGTTAATACTTTTTTTGCCAGGTATTCCCAAACCCAAGATTACTTGGCAGAAAAAAGGTGGTTTCTTAGGTAATAATTCCGCTGTCCTTCAGAATGGATCTCTGGTGCTAATAAATGTGACACTTGCAAATCGTGGGATCTACTCTTGTTCAGCAGCAAATGAGGTCGGACAAGCAATCGCATCTACATTTCTTAAATTTGCCAGTAAGTACCTTTAAAAACCTATCTCTTACACCATGCCTCTGCCCTCTTCACTGAAGAAAGAAATGTTTCAGCAAGAGGTTGTAAAGGAGGAAAGTGGGTGAAAAATATTGATTAAAAATGCTAAAAGGTCATTGAATGATTTCAAACTTTCCTTTAAGAGCCAAGAATATTTCCACCATCTGTAGCATCTCATCGTGAGAAAGGAAGAAAGAGGGTCTTAATGGCATCCCGGGCTGGTTCTACCGTTACAGTCAAACGTGGCGATGTGTTGCGAATAGGTAGGTTTGTACTTAGCTTTGTTTCACAAGGTACAATACAATTAACATGAGGATCAATACATGATCATCTAACTGTAGGCAAGCTGTTTTAAAACTGTAAAGATTATGCAGAGATGTAAAGATTAATGTGGTTGGGGATGAAGATTTCTGTGCTGATACGATTGATTATGATCATGTAGATATTAATTTGAACAATTTGATCACGGGATATTAATTTGAACAGTATTCTGGAAAGACTGCTAATGGCAAAACCAGTAGGTTTGGTGGCCTGAAAGTTTTGGAACTGCCTCTGTTTGCTAACATTGTGTTGAAGTCCTGAGAGACAGCGGGCAGGCAGGAATACCGCGGTTGCAAAAATGTAATTTCTCATAACAAATCCTCTCATACATTCCGCAAAGGTGGAATCTGCTGTGGAGCATAGCATTTTTCACCTCAACAGGAAATCAATGAGACTTTTCAAACCTATTTTGGTAATGGGAAACCTCCTTCCACAAAAAAGCACAGTGAACAGCACTGATGCTCGCCTCATTAGCCCATCGGCAAAGTGTCCGACACCTGGAAACGCGCCCATTTATTCTGAGCTGTCAAACTGGAACTGACAATTACAGGAGTCCCCTTATTACAGGGGTGAAAAGGTCCACGGGCATAAAATGTGCCGCTTAAAATGCTGCGGCAGGAGAAAATGCTGGCTACCGCTTTGTTCTAATTACATCAGAGCAGCAACATCGGCAACCACCGTGAGGAAATGTGTGATGTCCGGGTGTGCAGTGTGAGCAGGCCCACCACATAAATACTCGACTGCTTGTCTGTCTGAGAGCTGATGCATCAGGACTCCAGCAGTTTGCTTACTCATTAAAAAGAAATACAGTCTCTCTTTGCATTTGAGAGATTAGTGGGTCTGTTTGCGTGTGTATGTGTGCGTGTGTGTGTATGCATGGTTATAAGAACCTTTAACATTTTTATAAATATTTTAATTTCCATAGTTCTTTACTCATTTTTGCCCCCCCCCCCTCCCCCGCACAGTGTTACAGTGTTTTTCTAAAAGCAATCGATCTCATTAAAATATTACAAATTTCTATGATGTATTTAGTGTTTTTAAACCTGTTATTGCTGCAAGGAGTAGATTGATTTGGCCTCTAAGGTTCCATTTGTGATCACCAGGGAGGCACCATGTCTCTTGAGTGTTACTGTGCCACATGCTGTTTTACTCTCCTTCCAAGTGTGCCTGAGAAATCATAATTAATATGTTATGTTTTCTGATTAAAAATTCCATGGGAAATTGTCTAGAGCACCCTGAGTCTCTGCGGGTTTTGTAGAGCACTGAATGCACACCCATATTTTAATAATAATAATAATCCTTAATGTAATAATTATTTAACATTGGTCTAAACCTGGTTCTTCAAATGTGTTCATCAGGTTGCCCAGTGACTGCTAAGCACAGAGCTACGGTGAGCTGGAACTTCAGGAACCAGTCCATTCATGAGGTTCCAGGCCTCGAATACAAAATACTAAATGGAGGACGGGTCCTTGAAGTGAACACGTCCTTTGACACGATGACCGAGCAGTACAAGTGTCTGATTCACAGTGATTCTCGAATTGTTTCTGCCTCCATGAATGTGAACTTTGTAGGTATGCTCAGAATGCAAATTTTATTCAATCATATTTCTTATAATAAGGAATCATAATAATCCTTGCATTTGATAGCGCACTATCATGTCAGTGAGCCATCTCAAAGCACTTCACAGGATATACTGCAGTGTGGTGTGACTGTTTTATAATTATCTTACTAAGTGCATGCAAGTGTGTTACAAGAGCTATGATGGGAATTTCGACACTGAAGCTTGATTGGTTTGGGCTAAATGTGAACTTTCACTGGAACTTGTTACTGTAAATGGGGAACATGCCACAAAGAAATCTTTGCACTCTAGACATTTTCAGTGATACTTAAGTAAAGTAATTTTCTCTCTTTGATGAGACAGTTAAACACTGTGAGCATGCAGTAAGAAATCAAATTTGCAGCTTAAGTGAATTAAAAATGTAAATACGCAAAGCGTAAAATTAAATTGACCACGTTGCAGTTTATAATCTCAGCCAACTGCTTCTTTAAATCACATACACAAATATATATATTTAAAATATAATTCTGCTACTCAGTTCTGTTTGTTGGAGTTTTGCCTAACTTTCCTGTTGCCAAATTCAGATTGCATGTTCTTCTCCCACTGAGCTGCCATTCCCTCACAGTTTGTTTTTCTTCCACTCCCAGTACTGAATTTTGTCCTTCAGTTCATATTTTCTACAGCTGATACTCTTTCAAAGGCATTCATTGAACTGTATACATTCTATGTCTGTTGGCAGATCCACGTTTATTAAATTCTCTTTTCAATTTAAAAAGGACCTTTTATCATGTTCATGTGATTGAGATTCTGAGCCAAATTCATTTTGGAATATGGATTCAATCACGTTTTAAATAATCAAAATAATAATAATAACCCTTGCATTTGGTAGAGCGCCTTACCAGGTCACCAAAGTGATTCATTCAGAAAAAAAACAAGTTGATAGTGTTGTGGGAGAATGGCAGAGAGAGTATTCAGGAAGGGTGAGATCAAATGGGCTGAAGGGCTTTCTTCACATCTAAACCTCTTGTGATTTCCAGCGAGGCTTGTGTTCTATTTAACACACGGAAGGCTTTCATATGATTTCATTGTGTCAGCAGCACAGCACAAAAGCTCTTCACCAATTGAGCCATGGGGAATGCTGGATTTTGGATTTTTCCACCCAGATAGTTTATGAAAGTTAGAAACCAGAAATCGCTTTATTAAGCTTAATCCAGAACATTGTTTAGAACTCAAAACATTACTTTTGTTCACGATTTGTTACAATTCTCCTAAGATATTGAGCATAATGGTTGTAAGATTTAGCAGGAAAACTCAACTGCAGAGTTAATTTCAATTTTTAAGTAGCATTTAAGCAGCCCCCACCATATTTTAACAGTTTCAAAATCACAGGAAGGGTTTATTAACAAATGTGTCTTAAATCACTAGGGTTTTGGGGGGGCTGAATCCATGTGCTGGGGACAGATGCTTAAATAATTAGACGAAAGAGCATGGGAGGTTTTTGAGCCATGCTGTCATCTATGGGCCACATCTGGAGCCTATCAGTTTGATCATAACAATAACCATTCATTGACAAGCTACATGATTCACCTTTGAAAATTAGAGATTTATCTGACATTAATTCATTTGTTAAAGTCATCTCACAACTGGATAAACTGGATGTCTTTTACTGTCTGCTTGTACCGGTTATGACTCACAAAAAATGTCATGTTAATGGTTGTTTGACTAACTTGACACGTGTAAGTGAAGCAAATTTTGACATGCTTTATAAAATGTGAGAAAAGGGAATATTAAGCAGTTAAATGTCAGCATCCTGCCACTTCATATTCCAGAAAACGTAGTGGATGAACTCCATACTCTAGTCCTCCTCCCAGTCCTCTCACTTCCTTACCTCTGCAGGTCCTGTAGAGCCTTAGAAACCATGCAACAATTCATTACTTTGTGCTTCTTTTGGCCAATTTCTTAATTTTAGCTCCAGAGGATAAACATTTGCACTAACGTGAGAAATTTAACCTTCCATATTTTAATCTAGTGTTGATATTCTCATTACCCAAGATATCTTCCTTTTGTAATATTTCTCTCAAGCAGATTTCACCTGGGCTCCTGGTGAGTGGACTTCCTGCACCGCAACCTGTGGGAACACAGGAATCCAGTACAGAAAACTGCGCTGCCTTAACAATCATGGAATTGAAGTGAATGAGTCCACGTGCCATGAACTTCCTAAACTCCCATTAATTATCCAGCTCTGTAATGCACGGGATTGTCCTGCCAGGTGCGTAACAGGATTATTACAATTTATGTCGTTTTACACCGCCTTTAACTTTGCACGAATAATCATGTTTCGAATGCTATTGATTCTCTGCATTTGTCATAAAAATTGGACAAAATGTATCGTTATGTCAACACACAGACCTAAAAACTGCATGTGCTCTGTGTTTCACAACAATAATGACCAGTTTTGGGGCTATCCACAACTCATTAACGGATCTAGATTTATTCGATTAACATAACAGTTCAGATGGTCNTTTTTTTTAAACACCGCCTTTAACTTTGAACCTTTTTTCTGTAAGTTTATTTTGAGAACTGTAGGCGCTACGACAGAGGATTGTTAACAATTATGCAGAAATCGAGGTACTGATTTTTTTTAACCAAAAGCAAGGTCATGAGAATTAATATGCCACGATGGCAGATTTGATGGGGTCGAATTTATCTAATGAATATCAGTGTTTTGGAGAGAAGGCAGATTTCTGGGGTTTGGGTATTCGGACCCTGGAAAACATTATCCAAAAGTTCTGCTCTAATATTTAGGAAAACAGCACTGTTCTCATTTGAGGGCTGGTTCTAGCCTGTGTTGGATTTTGCATTCTGCTCCACTGGGATTCAGCTGGACATCTTCCAACGATCTCTGCTTACTTGATTTCGTACTCATTTATTTTTATTTGTGGCTGGACTCGCCCTTTGGGAATTCATACTCTTGTTTTTATTGTTCTGATCTAATCAGTTTCGACAGGATGTTGTCAACAGATTGTTATTAAAACAAAAAAAAGTTAAGAAAGTAAAACGCTCTCTGGCATGATCACACAAAGCATGAGCTTACAAAAGCACTGTGTGCCATCAAATATTTTCAGATATTTTGATATTTCTCAAAAAAAGGTGCAGTCTCGTGAATCAGTGACTCAATATCTTCCTTTATAATAAAAAATAATAATAATAATCTTGCATTTGATATAGCGCTTTTCACGTCAGGAGGACGTCCAAAGCGCTTCACAGAACACTGTAAAGTGAATTGACTGTATATTTGTGGCGAACGCGGCAGCCAATTGCGCACAGCAATGTCCACAAACAGTCGTAGAATGAAAATGACCAATTTATTATTGTTTTTGGTTTTGGAGGGATTATTATTAGGCTCTGTGTGGAGTAAGGAAACTTGCCCAAGGTTTCGCCCTGACCTGCCTGGAATTGAACTCGGGTCTCTCACTTGCAAAGCGAGTGCTCTAACCACTGAGCTACAGGACTCCAATAAGTCCTGAGCTACAGGACTCCTTTATGAAATAAAGGAGTGGGAATCTGGTTCTGCGGCACAGCACTGCTGGGGTGAATAACTGTAGATTTAGGGGTTTTCTGTTCCATTTTTTGTGCATTTCAAAAGGTTTGAAACTTGACTAAAAGGTGAGAAGTTGATACCTTTCAAGGTGGGAAACATGTTACTGAGAAATGCCATCTAGATGTTTCAAATTCACTCCTTGCCCAAGTTCTAACATTTATAAGCTCCAGCTCATCCAAAATGTCAACCTCCCGCATCTATCCTCAACCAATTCTTTGCAAGGTTCCACTGGCTCCATCGGATTGACTTTAAGGTCCTCACCCTCACTTGTAAATCCCTTCATGCCCTAGTTCTTCCTTCTCTCTGTGATCTCTTACTCCATTCTTCTGGTCATCTTCTCCCTCAGCTAAACCCAGTTTGCTGTGCATCCCCCACATCCTCTCCGCCACCATCAGTGGCAGAGCTTTCAGACGCAATGCCCCTAATCTCTGATATTCCCTCCATGTATCCTAACCATTTTGCCCCCTCTCTACCTCTAAATCTTGCCTTAAAACATATATAAATGTTGTTGTCACTTAGTTATCCAGAGTAAGTAGTAGCAGCGCTGTAATTTGCTGAGATCATTTTACTCAGCATATCCGGGATTTGAACCTGTGACCTTCTGGCCTGTCCAACTGAGAGCAGTGCACTTATCCAGCAGAATTAGGCTTTGGTCTCGCTCAAACATATTAGGAACTGTGCTCAAACCTTGTGTGCAATCCTGCCAGTTCCATACATAGGGTATTATCAAACAATAACAGTTGCACAGTACCTGTTGAAATCCTACGTGGCGGCCAATGCATCTTCATAGTACTTCCAGTAAAAGTATTAAAAATTACAAAAGTTTGTCAATATTTTGTAGAAATTGATTATATGTATGAAAGTGCTTATGTATTTTCACATATTCTTTTGCCAACCGCTTGATTTTTATTTTACCCATGTGTATTTTTTTTAACTTTATTCACGGCATTAATTTAATATGGTAAATTGTTAGCATGCCTTTGAAAGCCCCACGAGGTTCTTCATACAATGAAGGCTTTCATGCTTGTCTTGAATAATAATCTGAACTCCAGCCTGCAAGGAGCTATTGATTGCGAACTTAGTTTCAATCTTCCAGAGTAACCTTTAAATATGCCAGTTCTGCTGTGGCTTTAATGGGAATAACACGACGCAGGTGTTTTTGAGATGCAAAAGAAAATAGTGGGAAGAGAAAACAACATGCTGATTTTACAGCAATGTAGCTTAGTTTAGTTCACCTGCCCCTTTTTAAGTGTAAAATGCAATGGCTTCTTCCCAATGTCTCATTTATCTTTTTTTTAGTATGAAATGTGATCACCATACAACTTCTGTACTGTACTTTTATTTCCTGCACCCGGTTGAATGACCAGTACCTTTGAAACTTATCTTCCAAACTAGCAATCCACTTTACAATATATTCTGTGAAACGCTTTGAGATGTCTCACCGACGTGATAAGGTGCTATATCAAACGCTAGGTTATTATTATGATGATCAATAGCAAAAAAAGTGCAACGATTGGAGTTATAAGTATCTAATCTCTAGGAATCAATTGGTAAATATTGTTCATAGTTTTAGCAATGTTGATATCTGAAGATTATTTAAACTTTAAAAAAACACTCCAGCAAGCAGAAATATTTGCAATAAACATTTGCTGGCATAATTATTATTTTGAATTCTTTTATATTCAGCATTCAAAATTACCAATTTTTTAATTTATATATATTTCTAAAATCTTTGTACAAAAACACAGAGCAGACTTATCCTCTGTACACCATTACAATAATGTGACATTTACACAGTTATTTACTCCTAATTTTATAATTGGCAGTAAGTTAAGCACCGCCAATAGATTCTTCTTGTGCAAATATTTGGCTGCGTAACCAAGCCAGCTAGGATTAGTCTTGTGTTAGGAGATTGCTTCTGATATCCTATTGAATTGAAAGCTATAGACGCTTATCTGGAGAATAAATGCATCATAATTAGTGCTGCAGGGTGCAACATCCCCACTCTATTGGCAGTAGCTCGATTTCTTTTCAGTGCTGGCTGAAATGTGGAAACACTTTAATAAATTAAATGGGAGGATCTGGCAACCAAATCAAGATATAAATGACATCTGTTCTTGTTACAACTGTATCTGGCTTTACCCAGTACTTGTTGCACTGAATATGATAAAGCCTCCAAAAAAAAGCCCATCGGCAAAGCGCTAACAATTGATAACAAGTCGAGTTTCATTTCATTGGCAGAGCCAGAATCAAAAAGGCATTCAAAATCCTACCAAGGTGTAAGGTACTTTACTGTAGACTGTGAACTTCATATCTTAGCCAAATAATGTTTTAAATAGGAAAAGGGAATCTTTGGTTTGAAGCCATGCACTTACAACAAATTGGCTTTGAAATGCCTGGACAAAATTTTCCCCAAAACGAAGATAAATTTCTTTTAGCAAGGGAAATACAGAGGATTGCAGGAAGCAGATGAGTGACCCCAAAAGAGTGAAGTTGGCCCGTAATAAAAGTTTATGAGCAGAAGCACAATTGTAGCAGGAGAGGGAAAAAAAATGTCTTTCTGTTCTCTTGAGATGGATCTCTTCAGTGAAGTGTTTTTGGCGATCACTAAAGATTTCCTGCACCTAGTTTGAATTCAAGCTAAATAATACTTATCTAGTTAGGAAGTCGTGGTTTTAACCAACAGTAATGCTAAGTGAACTTTTTTTTTGTTTGATTGTAATCAACAAATGATATCAGACTTCAGGCTGTCTGTTGATTTTCTACAGCACCTGAGAGTTTTGCAGCTTAATATAATTTCACTTGGAAGTTTGTGCATGATGTTTGTAGTGACTTGAGTGCTCTTCCTCCAGGTGGGTTGTCACAGCACTGTCAGAGTGTTCAGTGACTTGTGGGAAGGGCATCCATCAAGAGCAAGTGACATGTGAGCAGATAACAGCCAATGGAACATTGAGAGTTTTACCTCCGGAGAAATGTGCAAAAGAGGCAAAACTATCAGCTGCCAAAGAGGGTTGTTTAATGCAGTCCTGTGCAGAATGGAAAACTGCAACTTGGGAAGAGGTAAGGATATAGATCTCGGGTAGGAATTATTCTGTGCTCCTTGACATGAGTGATAATAACAGAACAAGAATTTTAAAAAATCACATTTGCGGTCTAAATCATGATACTGCTGACTGCCTGTTTAGGTGGATGTTAAAGATCCCATGATGATACTGGGATGAAGTGGGGTTTGGGGGTGGGGGGGGGGGGGGGGGGGGTGGGGGAGAGGAGAAGGGAGTGTCTCCTGGTTTCCTGGACAAGAATTCAACAGATAAAACCATTCACTTTATGGCTCTTTGTGGGACATTCCTCTGCTCAAATTGGCTGCCTTGTTTTGCCTACAAAATACAGTCGCTATACTTTACAATCATTTCTGTGAAATGCTTTGAAAAGTCCTTCTGCAGATGTGAAAGGTGCTTTATCAAATGCAAGGGTTATTTTGCATTTATAATTTGTAACTCGCAAATCCCAGAGGTATCATAGAAACTCTATTTGAATACCAACCTTGGTTTTGAGTTCCTGGGGGGCTTGGTGTCAGAGTACCAGATCGAGACATCTGTGACACATCTGAGATTCCTTCAGCATTGTTCTATTGCAAACCCAATCACAGAAGGATTACCCCCACACCCAGCTACAGTGTGTGGTACATTACAGCCAATTTTACATGACACTGTGGCTGTTTTACTTGAATTCAGAGGTAGATCCTCCTTCAATATAAACTCGTGGAATCCTATAGTTCAGTAGTTAGAGCACTCGCCTTGCAAACGAGAGACCTGGTTTTGAATCCCGGCAGGGCGAAATGTTGGGCAAGTTTCCTTACTCCTCATGCCTCTGTTTACCTAGTAAATAGGAATCCGGTTGTTGGTCGATTGGCAGATCGCTTTTCCGGAGGTAAAAATTCCTTTAAAAAATAATTAGAATAAATTGGTCACTTCAATCCATGACTGTTTGTCTGCTGTGCGTAATTAGCTCCGCGTTTCGCCCACAAAATATACAGTCAATTCACTTTACAGTATATTTTGTGAAGCGCTTTGAACCACCTCGAAGATGTGATAAGGCACTATATCAAGTGCAAGGATTATTATTTTTATAAGATGATTATAAGTATTAGCTATTCCAAGATCTGTTTTCCTAAACTGTCAGAAAAGATGGAATTTGATGAGGTTTTATCATGAATGATAATAGCTGTTGGCTCAGATTTCAAACAAAATCTTAGTACTAAAGGAGGCAATGTTTATTATATATGTATATTATGCAAACTTCTTGGGAACATTTAATGTGCCGTCACATGCCCTGCCTTTGTATTGCAAAGTGAAGATTTCCATGCTGAACTATTCCTGCAGCCACCACAAGATAATGAGCAAATCCTATAATCCCCCTAATGTACCTTGAGTGTTCCATGAATAGTTGCACTAAACTGCAAATGGAAGGAACAAGTAAATAAAATACCTGAGGGCGCAGCGCAACAAGCAAGGCAAATGAATGAGCAAAACAGGGTGAAATAAGTCAAGTGAGGAGTTCCAATTCAAGCAAATTGCAAAAGGATTCGCCATTCATATCTAGTTGGCTAAACAAATGGATGGAAAACGTGTAGGAAACTAAATATGAATTAGCTAATAAAAGAAGGGGGATGAGAAGCTAATGTGAATACTCCAATCACCAGTGGCAACTCGAGTCTGACTGGAGTCCCTGATGATGGCAGGGCCACACCACCAACCTGAGGGAAGATGCCAAAAACAGAAGACCTGTTGCTACTTGAGGTAAATTTTCGATGCCTAAAAACAAACCACGGCACATTAAAATGTAGACCACCGTGAGTGGTGGAAGACAATGAAAAGGAATCAAAGAGAGCATCGTACTTATAAACCTCAATGTTTTGCTGGCTTCAGAATTAAGGCTATATTGAAGAATTTGCCAAATTCTGGATACTCTAAAATGTTTACAGAATACAGAATAAATCCAGGTGGAATTTCTACCCCCATTGATTTTTGAACAATTTCAGATTGCTGCTAAAAGAAAGTTAACCACATTAAATTGGCAGTATTAAGTTTAACACAGACGTTTTTGTTCAGAAGCTCAACGGTTTACTTTTTGTCCTACAGTGTACCGGTCGATGTGTGGGTCAAAACTTTGCTGTGCAGCATCGTCAGATTGAATGCCAGTTTACAAATGGAACAGCAACCACAGAAGTCATTTGCAATGAAACAAAGAGGTACAGAGCAATTAAAAGAACCACATTATATGCCACTTTCACTCATGCCATAAGTACCACTTAGATTCTTTGTGGTATAGAATAATTGAAAGCAATTTGCAGATTGCATCAGATGGTTTTAATGTTCAGAAATTTAATGCAATTCAGTGTAATTAACTTTCTTTTAATAATGGTTAATTCTATCAAAACTGAAAGGAACACAAACTTTAGAAAATTCCAGCCGCAGTTTTAAAATGAACAAAATAATTTGAAGCAAGAGCTTGAAATTGTTCACGACTGAAACGAAATTGGCTGGGAATAAATAAAACGCCAGTTGTTTACTCTGAGAGTTCAGAGGATATCATGAATATTTAATGTATATTTTCAACTATCTGTAATTTAAAAAAAAGTAATATGTTATTGTTAAAATATAAACAATTTAGCAGTAGTTTTAATTTGTCTTAATTATATTCTCGAAGACAACATGACATTACTACAATTTCACCAGCACAGAATGCTACTTTTACATTGTTTGTAGACAGATGCATGGAAAATATTTTGCTAGTTCTGTAGCAGAATCATTAGGGATTTGAAGCCTTGGTGTGTCCTGCTTCAAAGATGTAAATTTATTAAGCTAATGCTTTCCTTCAAGACAAACGTGTTTATTGGAATTAAATTTACAGATCATACTTGTGCTTGATGTATTATTTAGTGTGTCCATGCATATGTTAGGGAAAGTACTGTTATAATTATATAATAATTATAATAACCATCGCAGATCCTCTAGGTTGGCTGATTGTAGAATCTGCTCCGTGCCATTGCACGATTAAATAACTGATGTTCCCTGGGAGAATAGGTTAAGTTTGAGATCGTACATTAATTTCCCTTATTCTCAACAACTATTTTCAGGCTAAAACATCTTTCAAACAGTAGTTACGAGTCTTTGGAAGAATCCAAACAAACTATCCATCACTACTTCATTTTGTGACTACACAGAATGTTACAACACAAAACAGGCCATTTGGCCCAACCTATGTGTTCATACTCCACATGAGCCTTCATCCCTCCAACCTCTTCTCCCTCATGTATGTTTCTCCTTAAATATGGTGATGCATTCTGCTTTAATCACAGCTTTGACTAATAAAGTGTTTCAATTTGCAGGCCTGTTTCTACAAGACAGTGTAAATTAGATAGATGCAACGTGCAGTGGAGAACTGGCCCATGGAGACAGTGTACAGCAACATGCGGGAATGGTTTCCAGTCTCGATGGGTAGCTTGTACCAATAAGAGAAATAACAAAGCTGTGACTGACCAGGATTGTGGTTGGCAGAGACGACCAATAACTTGGCAGCGTTGCAATGTAACCTCTTGTGACTGTAAGTACTCCAGCACTTCAATACACTTCTAACATTGTACAGAGAGAAATTAATGAATCAAAACAGTTGCTTAATTTAAAATATAATGCTTTATATTATCATTTGTTTAAAATAGTATCAAATTTGTTAGAACCTCATCATTGTTGGTTGATGGTACAAACAGAATTGATTTTCATGCTGATAACATGCAGTTATTTAGAGCTAAATATCTTGCTTTCAGCTTCTGAAGGGGATTGTAAGGATACAACGCGTTATTGTGCACTTGTGAAACGTCTGAGACTGTGTCAGCTGAAAACCTACAGACAGAGGTGTTGTGATTCCTGCAGAATGGTTTAATTAATACATATAGTGTACCGCTGTGTTATCTTCACAAAGGTGTGTGAATCAGCTTCAACATAGGCAGAACTTGGTGTGGATTGACTGACTACAGCACTGAGTACAAGTTGGTAGAAGAAATATTTAGTATTTTTGACATACAGAAATGACACAAAAATTCTATTGCTGTGTAGATCAACTGAAATTTATGTAAGACAAATATGTACTGGCTTACTCTTAACAAAAGGACTTGTTTCTGTTTGAATTTGATAAGATGAATGTTAGGATTGTTATCTTTTTATGGGTTTTGACATCTATAATATTTCTAACTGGGCACATTCCACAGAGACTTCTGTTTATGTTATTGTATAATTTTACAGAAGTTAGTATGTGAATTATTAACTTTCTGGAACAAAACCTTTCATCCGCATGACTATTCTAGAGGATTGCTCTTTTATAGTATCCCGATAAGGGCATCGTACAGCTTTCAATACAGATGAATAATGAACAAAGAATAAGATCCTTATCCTTTGAATTGCTGTAAACCTCTTTCATTCCTTTATTCCAGAATTTGTATATTCAGGTGTGTTTACATGTAGCACACATTAACCAAAGGATAAGAATTCAGTAATTTAGATATTAAACTTGTATATGCCTATATCATTAGTAAAGGCAGTCATATTTGCCATTGTTAATGTAAAGAACAGCATACAAGTCAGATGACAATCAAGTCACTTTTGGAGTGAAACATTAAAACTGAGCCCCCAAATGACTATTTTTATTTATGATAATGTGTTTTAATGCAAGCCCAGTCATGTATCAGTGCTCTCTTTAGTTATGTTGTTTGTTAATCTTTAGGGTGCTGTAAACCTCCAGGGATTATATATTTATGTCCCAAACTTTTTTTTTAAAAAGGACACTTCAATCAATAGGTGTTCGAAACAGAGAACAGAATTATAATAGGTAATTTGTGGTATAAATAAGTCTTAAACCCACATTTATAAAATGAAAAGGGAACGTTCAATGAAATTCAAAACCTTCCTGTTTCCATCTTTATGCTGACTTTTCTCGGAATTGATTCATTTCAATTACTATAATAACACAGGGTAGAAGTCAGCATGTATAAACATAGAACTGCATTATGGAATTACATGGAACCTACAGCACCAAAGCGGGAAATCTTATCCTTTTTATTACTGTAAACCCCTTTCATTCCCTTATTATGGGATTTGTATATTCAGTTATCCTAGTCCATGTCGGTGTTTATACGCCACATGAACCTCCACCCATGCTGACTGACCGACCCTCTCCTTAGCCTCCCCCATACCTCTCTATTACCTTGTGCATCATAAAAACAGACATGAAGACTAGATGGCCTCTCTTCATACACACACAATTCTAGGTCTCAGACACTTCAGGACCAACTTGTTGGCATTTTTTTATAGAAACCTATTTTTAACTCACTTACTGTATAACTCACTCACATTGCAGTTCCCCCAAGCATATAAAGATGAGTGACTTTGCTTACGGAATCTTGGTCAAGAAACAATACAGTTCTTTATTTTCAATCTACATACAAATTAGTCCAGTCACAAACGTTAGCCAAAATGGAGAAGGTCTTGTATCCGATAGTCAAGCAAACCTGCTTTGACTAAAGAACAGTGGACGTTCTGTACCAAAGGCAATCAAAAACTTTAGTAACATTGAAAAACTGAATGCTTCACTGGTTTGACCCTCGTAAGGTTGGATCACTAATGGTGAACCATTTAAAACGTCTAATTGTGTTTCAAAAGCAATTACAGTAATACTGCCAATCCCAGAAGTGACAATGGGGGTCTATTTTATGTTGTGTGCCAAAAATAGCAATCTTCTCGACCTATTCTGTTCACATTACAAAAGATTTGCTGCATTTTGCATTTGGTTGATCATTGGCTTCAATTTATTTCAGGCTTTGTCATAAATACCCTAAAGAATCGCCAAAATTAGATTGAGTAGATTTGCATAGCCACGTATTAACTGTGAATCGGAATCAAGGAGATCTGTTTGGATCTACCAGTTTATGTTGGTTGTTTGAGGTACTCTATCCTTGTGAGATTAAAGCAAAAATAGAAAAGTGCAAGTGATGCTACATTTAAAGTAAATACTCGAGGTAAACAAACAGAGGCAGTAAAAGGGATGCAAAATTAGTTTTATTTCTAGTTGCCTTTTGATTGTTTTACTCTCTTCATTGTGCAGATTGCAGGTTTTGCTATCACTGCAACCTGTATTCAACACTGGTTTTATGCCAGGAAAATATCTCTGTAAATCAGTGTAGTTTTAGAAGCCCAAGATATCCATGTTGTATAACAGACATTTTCTGAATAGAATATTTGTGAATTTCAAAGACAGATTCTGTTTTAATTATTGTAATGAAGACTTCTATCATTATTTATAAAAATAAATATTCAATCATTCAGTGAGATTATGCAGTGGTAAACTGGTCATTTAGGCTATGAAAGACCCATCTTCATTCTTTATCGAAATTGTTGCTTACATCTATTATTTATAACAGTAGGAGTGCTAGAATTGGCTTCAGATCCTAGGGTTAGGAAGGGCAAAATAGAAACCCATATCTTGGGATTCTCCATCATATATTGTTCACTGAAACACTGCATCATTAAGCACCACAAGCAAGGGAAAGGTTGCTTAATTTACGCCACTAATTACCTACTACAATTATTGTCATTTGCTTTAAAATAGTTATTTTGGTTGACTTAATAAGCACTATACATTGACTTAAGATTTTTAAGATGGGAGTGTTAGATATAGAATATTTGTTTTGCTAATTAAAAAAAGTCTTTTAAAATGTATGGAAAAAAAGAGGAAATATGTTCAAAGGGATTTACAGTAATTAAATAACTGTGTGGTAGTTAATCATGTAGACTGTTGAGTTCGATATTGATGTTTATTGTAAATGAGATTGACACCATATCATAGGATTTCTGTTAACAGTATTTGATCAACAAATGAGTGCGTGTTCAACAATATTGCATGTCTCAGTGTTACAGTATTATTAGCAATGAGAACGTTAATTTCATCTGTTCATGTATGTTTCTACATTGATGAATGTTATAATAGTTTCTGTATACAGCTGTTTTAAGTTGATCTTTTTCATAAAATAAGAATGCTGAGTAATATTTCAGTCAGTGCACTTGGTGGAATACCCTACACTTTTGCCTTCTCTAATCATTGATGGGTCTTGACCTTTTGCTAAAGGTTGTGCATAAATTAAACGAAAAAATCATTGTAACATATTACTTGTATATATTTATTTTCTGTTATAAAGTGCAATACTGAATGTTGTACATTGTGTGTTATAAAGAATATTTTTTGCTGGGACTTTTATTTTTACTACCAAAGTTTCTGTTTTAAATTTTCTTTTACTTTCTATTTAAACTTAAAATGTTATTACACACTTGCCAAAATGTTTTACAAATGTCTAATTATTTTCTTCTTCTGAGTACTCATGTTATTTGGTAATAAAATTACCAAGGAAGGTTCCAGGTCTACTTGTCTATGATAGCATTATATAATTTGTTGTAAGTTTGGGATTTGTCTAATTTACCCAACATTCCTTCCTAACTACTGATAGTTAGAGTTGTGACTTCGTCTGAGGATGTTGAATATTTTGTAAAACTTGCTTCGGCTTACAAAAATGTACAATAAACCCAATTTGTACTACAGATATAATCATGAAAACACTACCTGTGCTGTGTACGTAATCAAAATGTTTAGAAAGACTGTGTGACTTTAATTTTTTATTGCAGTTTAATAAAATTAAACCTTTAACCACCATTACCTGACATGTTTCAGAGGATTTATTTTATTCAAACTATCAGGCGTTATTACTCAATGCAATTTCTAATTTAACATTTCTGTCAGAATCCCGAGAGAAGAATTGACATTGTCTGCTTCTTATATATTTACATGTGTACTTTAAGTATCGTAATCAAGGCAGCATGTGAACATTCAATAAACCAGATGCTATATTAATTAGAACACTTATTTATACAGAAAAGCATAAAGATAAAAGGCAGCATATAAAACATTAGTAAAGATATTTCTGCACCAAATATGATCTTAATTTATGAGTTCAAAAATGGAATGGCAGCAACCTAATAGCTAAATCAATTGAGTGATATGAGCAAATCTTGTTTTTACAAAATGTATTTGCTGTCATAAACTTATAAAGCCTTGCGTTTAATACAACATCTTATCATATTATTGCAATGTCTTGAAACGATACCACAGAATTTATCTGTGAAGTATAATGATTATGTATTTGCTTGCGAATAGCTTTCAGTTTAAGATTAGAGGCTGTTTGAAACATAAGATTTTACATAATAAGTCTGACTGAAAATGAAGGAAAACCTGAAGGAAATTCATAGAACTTACAGCCAGAGACAAATTAAGTGGAAATGTTATTCTATTATTCATTAAATTTTTCCCAGGTACAAAACTAGATATAAGAAGTTGGATTATTACCAGGGATATCATAGGGTGTCAAAATAGGACCAAAGGTAGGTGCAAGTTGACAATAAGTACTTTTATGAGCATCTGGAAACCAGTTTAATTTGACTGCATTTCCCAGCCTGGATAGAACTGTTTTTTTTCTAGAAAAATAAACATTTTATATTTCATGGTGAGTTTGCTTAAAATTTAAAGGTTATCAGAATGCAAACCAAATTTTATTTTATCTGTAAAAGGGTTTAAGATTAGATATTTAGCAGTTAGGTATTATTCTCAGAGCAGAATGTTAGCTAGCATCAGACATGTAATAGAGAATACAATGCCTAGAATATAGTAATCTGCTCTTGATGGTTCAGTACTCTAAAAAATGAAAGAGATCAACATACTCATTTGATATATAAATCGAATTGTATTATTTCTCACTCTGTTAGTTTATTTTATTTGCAGTCACTGAGAACAAAGATTGAAATGTCAAATACAAATGAAATTCATGGCAAACAGGTAAGCAAAAAAATAGTTGTCAGAGCTTGTGAAGGGCCATACTGTGCTTTGCATGTCATTTACTAAATAAACATCTCACATTTTTATTAAAGGATTTTATACGCTCTACAAATTGCATATACATTTTTGGGTTGCGTGTATGATTAGCACAAGAAAACGCCTAATCATTACAGTACATTGGATATCAACTAGTGTTTTTAAAATAATTTACTCTAGCTAATTATCTTTGAAACTTTAATATATTAAGGTATTATTTATATATTATGTCCTAAGTTTTCTCTTTAGAGAATTTTTTTAAAAAATTGTTTTCAAATCATTCTTCCATTAAAAATATCCTTTGCATTATAATGCATTGGGATTCTTAAGACAGTACAATCATGTTTCACCTTTGGCCAAATATCACTTATTTTATGGTTAAGTGCAGTAAACACAAACTGTATGAAATTATAATTAATTATATTAAAAATGTAAGTGTTCTGTGATCATTCATTCAAACAAAAAGCATCATGTAGAAACCAGGTTTTGCAGTGCATTGATGCACCATACACAGTCTGGCTAGGCACAAATATAAATGTCAGAGGACATGTGTGGCTGCAGTTTATAATAATAATCCTTGCGGTTGATACAGCACTTTTCATGTCAGGAAAATATATCAAAGCACTTCCCGAGGTGTACTGTGAAATGCAGTGACTTTGTATTTTGTAGGCGAATGTGGGTTTGTCAGGACAAAGGTAATTGCTTTCAAACAATATCACATTTAATAATGAAGAACATTATTAATCAATCCTATGAAGCACATTTACACACATTCATGCCATTTACCGTTAAAACCCATTATGTGTTGCATTGCGAATAACTAGCAAGAAATCATTACCTTCTGGCATAGTTGCTGCACTTGAAGCCAGAAGGAATAGAATTCTATATCCCTGATAAAATGCTGATGTCTTGTTTTAGCTATTTAAAGTCTGGTTAAGTAATTTATTAACCTTGTAAGTTCCTTGAAATTAATGTAATTGGAAACTTTGCATTCTAAACTCAATTTAAAGTGACATGAAAATCTGTTGTACTGTTAATGGAAACAGGAGTGACTTTCGCAAGAGGATTGTAAAAAGTAGAGAACAGCACATGTATCTCTGGAGAAAGGATTAATTTACAGTAATCTTCTGAGGAGAATATTGATATACCAGAAAGATTAGCTGTAAACCTGCATAACATACTGATTTTCAATCGTGGCCATGGGGCTGCAAAGTCTCTGAGCAATTATAAGATGTTTCCCCACAAGGAGGGAAGAAAATAGGACAGGACAAGCAGTGTAGCTTCCCTATAGTTCGCAGTCAATTTTAAGGCATCTATCAAGCCAACTCTGAAAGTCTTGAGAACAAGATCAATTTAAATTGTTGGGTAATCATCTGGATTCTTATGCATTTGAAGAAGTTTTAACAAATACTTTCCCAATGTCCTGAAAGATATGTTTGTCCCTATATAGATGACTGCTACTGTTAAAATCCTATAAGGGGACTGAGGGAGGCCAGATTCCTGCTGGAGCCCAAAGCCATGCACAATACATTTATCTAACTCTCATAAACACCAAAGGAATGGCACCCAGCCCTGTGTGGTTATGGTTCTGTTCACGAATACTGCATTTTCAAATAAACCAGCATCTACGAGAGTTTATATCTTTACAAATTGTATAGTGTTCAATGTATTTGCATAGAGATGTTGCCCGGATTCTATGGAGCCAACTGTTTGCACGGTACAATTATAATAATCAATGATGGGAGGGGAAGGAAACATAACTTTTACTGTTAAATGTTGGAAAAGATATTGAGGCTAAAATAATATATAGAAAGTACCTGCAGCAGGAGTTTAATAAATACAAACCTGATTCATTCTGAAGATGATGCAAGGCACTAGTGTATTTTACCACATTATTTAAGTATACAGGTATTATTAATGTACATATGATTGCGATATACAGTTTGGATAATCTACATAGCTAATTCCTTGATATTCCAGAAACCTTAAAAAGTACCTCCCATGTTATTCAAACGAAAAGGGATGGGTTTGTTTCTGCATTCTATCTTAATATGTTAAAAACCTTCATTGTTTTATTAAGGCTAATGCATAAAGATAGGAACCTATTATTATTATTAAGATAGGAACCTAATTCACCTGATAGTTTTGCTGAATATTGTGAAATCAAGGACAGGTAATTAAAGACGATTAATTGCAATAGTTATTTTAAAATGAGACGTGAATGATAGAGAAATGAGATTCGAGGTATCTTAATGTGGTCAAATCATTTTGCATTGGGTATTTAATGCCTGAAAGGCAGAAAACACATTTAGTTGAATGTAGTGATGTGAACTATATGGAGATTATGACTAACCATGAACTGATCAATTTTGATAGTTGAGATAAAATAACAAATGAGAACTGGAAATTTATAGTATAAGAATAATAGGAATAATACATACCAGGTATTATGTATTGGAAGTAATCTGTTGCGTTAGGTAGACTTGTTTTGAAGTTACTAATTCCAAACTGAATAAATATCTAAATTAGAACTAAATTTTTGAAACACTTAATACTTAGAAGTTCAGAAGAATCTTACATATTCACCATTTCTATTAGCATTACTAATTATAATTTGTGGTGAATATAATTTGTGAAGGTACATTCAGAGACAATTCCTTTTCAGAATAACACAAAGTACATGTTATTTAAATTGTACCATGTATAGGTTTGGTATTGTCTAAAAAAAATCATAATTAAAAACAGACAATGCACTTGAATACTTTAGGATTCCACAGCTATTTCATTTGGATGCTGCATTTCAAATGCCGGTTGCATATTATCGGATTCCAACGCTGGTAGCTTCTGATATAATTTATGACCACGTGTATCGGTGTGTTCAAAGATATAGCCTGGTGGAGTTGGATAGCTTGCTGGACATATTTCTAACTTCTTAGGTGTATAATCTATACGATACATGGTCCCATCATCAAATGGTGTCGTGCTGTGCAGTGGTTGATTTGAAGGCTTGCAGCTTTGTGATGGATTGAGCTGATGTGGAATATAATGAGATTTGAATGTTGTCAAGTCATCAAACTTCCCAGAAGGTCTTTTTATCTCATCGTCTTTCTTGATCAATGAAAGCTTTGGTGTATCCCATGGCCTGAAGTCTTCCTTCATTGTTGTATTTCCCTGGAAGGGAGCATGGACCTTTCTAGCACTTGCAGGCCTGAAAGGTGCAGGAGGCTTGATTTTATGTCCTACGTAATCAAGCTGGCTGGTGGTTTTCATATCCATGTGGCCATCTGGTTGCACGTACTTGGGTTTTTTATGGACATAGGGCAAGGAAACAGGCCATGGTTGATATCGATCACGGAATTCTGAGCTAGTTTCAAAGGGTGCATCAGATCCTATCTTAGTGGATTCAGGTTTGCAGCTTTTAGCAAGGTCTCCGTGCAGGCCCCTGTAATCACGACGGTGAGTGGTGAGATCTTCAAAAGGTTGGTCACTTGGTTTGTATTCTTCTTTTTGTCTAATAAATCGGTTCTCTAGCTGATGAGGAACATAAGCCACCCGGTGACTTGTTAAACCTTCAAAGGGAACATCAGATACCTTTGGAATATTTGGTGGTTTGCAGCTCTCTGTAGCCACTAATCCCTTGGGACCAAAATCATCTTGAAATGTACTTGGGTTTCCAAATTTTGTTGTCGGAGGACAATAAGCTTGATCTGCCTTCGGTGGCTTTTTGGGAATTTCCCACATTCTATAATCATCTGAAAAGAAAATTGAAATACTTGTGTATTGGTTTTAAAGTACAAACTATATCATCAGGTATACTCTAAGCCTGTATAAGACAGATGTTTCACAAAATAAGACATTAATAGGAATCTGTTAACTGCATAGCATTTTAGGAGTTTTGGCTTGAATTCGTCACACCTTTAACAAGATGTGTTCCCTCAGTTATTGGAGGGGTAAAATGGAACTTTTTAACCTTTTCTTTGGTTTAAATAAAAGCTATGATTAGATACTCAGACACACAAGCCGGGTATCTGGCATGTGGAAACCTATTGCCATGCTTAAAAGTATCCAAACTAGACTGAATTCCACGTATGCATGGAAATTTCTCTTTTTCTGGAGTGCATTATGCACTCTCTCTCTCTGTGTGGAGGATCACACCCTATTTATCTATCGCGTAAAGTATTAGAGTAAGAGTTATAAAATATATATGTACTCGTAAAATTGTATTAGTCACTTATAACCACACAAGGTTATTTTGTAAATATTTTTACAAAAAAGATCAATAGCAAGCCAAAATAGTGGGATAATCCTGCCACTGTATAGATCAAACTTAGAGTACTGGTTGCAGCAGTAGAAAAAGGATATTGGAGAAATCGAGAAGATACAGAGGAGGGTAACCAAAATGATTGAGGGAACGGAGGGACTGGACTATGAGGAGTGATTAAGTAAATTGCGCATTTTCACGCTTGAAAAAAGATTGAAAGATGACATGATTGTTGTCTTTAAGATTCTAAATGGGCACGACAATATAGATCATGACAGGCTGTTTCAATTTGTCCAGAATAGTAAAATCAGAGGACAAGGCCTACAATTGAAGGTGGGTAAATTCAGAGCGAATCTACTCAAACACTATTTCAGTGAACAATAGTGAACCTGTGGAACAGGCTCCCTAGGGAGGCAGTTGAAGCAGGAAGTGTTGATTCTTTCAAACACAGATTTAGATCGTTTCTTTTAGGAAATAACATTATGGGATATAAGTAGTTTGGGACATATACAGGTGGAGTCCTGTAGCTCAGTGGTTAGAGCACTCGCTTTGCAAGCGAGAGACCTGAGTTCAATCCCAGGCAGGGTGAAACCTTGGGCAAGTTTCCTTACTCCACACGCCTAATAATAATCCCTCCAAAACCAAAAACAATAATAAATTGGTCATTTTCATTCTACGACTGTTTGTGGGATATTGCTGTGCGCAATTGGCTGCCGCGTTTGCCCACAAATATACAGTCAATTCACTTTACAGTGTGTTCTGTGAAGCGCTTTGGGATGTCCTCCTGACATGAAAAGCGTTATATCAAATGCAAGGATTATATGTCCATGCGACCGCCAGGAAGGTGGAAGATGAACTAGATGGACCTTGGTCTTTTATCATTTAACATTTCGTATGGTCTTATTTTGTAAACGTAACCAAATGGAACAAGATAGTAATTAACTTGCATTGACAAATTTCCTACATGGATCAGGATACACTAAGGCTTTTTAGGAGATGGAAGGAGGAAATCCTTTGAAGAGAAAGTATTTCCTTTGACTTCCTTCCTCTTTGAGCCACCTGACAGAGAAGCCTTCATTCAAGCTGCTTGGAAGATTTCAAACTAGATCCCAGAGGCACAGTGCTTTACCCAACCTGAATCATATTTGATTATTTAATGCAGCATGCTCAAAGGCTATGCAGTTCATTACAGTATGGCATGTTCTGTGGATGGCATAACTTTATTACATTTTTGTAGATGTGATGAATTTACAAATAACCGTTTGTGTTTTTGGCTCATCTGTTCAGGAAACATATGTAAACCAGTTATTTAAAAAAAAAATCAGCTTGGCCTTTAGGTTAGTTTTGACCTCTTTCTTTAACTGTTGGTAGTTTTGGCGTTCCTGTGCTTCTCCATTCAGGTCAAGTCAGAAGTATACACATAATGCTGTAGTGTTAAATATATATCCTCCAATAGTGGCAATTGGGAATTAAGATGCCACTTATGCTCATGGTCATTAGATCTACCCCCCACAAGGACACAAATCTATGGGATTTACACCATTTGAGATGATGATTGGCAGCCAAATCATCTTGCTATGCAAGAAAAGGCTGCCAGTTTGATCATGGGGTCCCAGTGGTTGGCAGATCTCCAATAACCTATCTGGAAAATAAGACAAAACAGTACAAATCTAGAAAGAAATGCTAAGACTAGGAAAGCTTACTTTGAATGACAAGCTTGTACCACAGTATCAGGTGGAAGATCAGATATTTCATTTTATCACAAGAATAACCAAAAGACGAGGGGTCAACTAAATTTTATCAGATTAAGATGTCTGACTAATGGAGTAAAAAAACTATCACATATGTTAAGAATTTCTTAGCAAGCTGAGCTTTACAAAATTAAATATAAGGTCAACTACAGTTTATCAGATTAAGGTGTCTGATGGAGGGAATAAAAACAAATTTCAAGTGATTTCGTATTAACATTACTAACCTGATATTCTCAGAAATAAAACTGACCAAATTAAACATAAAATAAACTGAAGGGTTTAGGGAGGATGTAAATGTCGCAAGTATCTGAAGTTGACCTTAATAATAGTTATTTGTGTTATCTTTGAAAAAGATGAAGACATCTGGTTCTAATTGCCTTTCATCTGCCAGTTTTGGCTTTAGAATTAGCAAAAGTTATCCATGGTTCAATTTCTGCAATCATTTTGCGATATACTCCAGGCCTTTGCTTATAGAATCTAGAGTATTTTTTTAAGAGAATTGATTTCATCCTTGACCCAAGAGACACCAACAGAAAATAGTTAGGAAAAATAGTAACCTTTCACCAGATACACTGTTTTTGTTTCATATTTCTGTATATATCAGAACATAACAACTAGCGTTTCAAGCTACAGGGAATCAATGGCAGGTAAATAATACATCAATATCATTGACGAGTTGCATCTAATTGGTGCAGTCCTTAATTCTTGCCTCATGTCCAGGCCAATGAGCAGGCATAAATACATATTGAGATTAACTATTGAACAAAAATGTTACAATCATATGTTACCTTTGTATGTAGGTATGGTGTCTACCTTTGTTCCTTTCCCAGGTTTTCTCTCTGCAGGACGAATCATTGCTGCAGGCTTCACTTTGTGAGGGTTATAGTCCATCTTGTAGGTTGTAGAGTGATCCATCTGACCAGATTGTGGTCTGTATTCCTTCTGCACACGACCTGGTCTACGTGCAACATCATGAGGTACATAATCCGATCTGGAAAATAAGACAAAATTTGTTAACACAAGATATTTGTGTCAGTTGGCTCAGTTGCTAACACTCGCACTTCGAGGTGAGAAGCGTGTGTTTCAGCTCAAAACCAGGACATGAGCCCATAATATTAGATGATCATTCAAAATACTATACTATTAATACCCTTGAGTGACATGCTTTTGAGATATTCTGACTTGGTAACACTACTATAATGGTCATACCAGTCAATTCACTTTACAGTGTGTTCTGTGAAGCGCTTTGGGACGTCCTCCCGACGTGAAAAGCGCAATATCAAATGCAAGGATTATTATTATTATTATACCCTCATATACCATGCCTTAAAAGCCTGAATGCTTTACTGGTGGTGTTTGAAACCTTTAAGATGTTCCTTAACCTGCTCAGTGAAGAAGCCTTCCTCACAAAGGGAATCAGTGGAAATGTAACTTGAGAGAAGCCAGAAATGTAAAACAAAAACATCTGATCAAAAGCAGCATTTCTTGAGCCATAAGTTGTGCTCCTCACACAGAGGCATCATGCAGAAGTTCATCCTGCAACATTTCAGCAGAATCTAAATATCTTTTAGGTGGTCCTTTCCAAAGCCAGAAGCTGTAGTATCTGTTCAAAGGAGCATCAAGCCCATGGCAAACCATTCATCTCTTTCATTAAAGATTTCCCTATGGAATAAGTCTAATTGCTTTTTAAATGTGATCTAGGGATCACAATCAGAGGCTGAATGGAAAATCTGCGATGTACAATAAACACGTTGTTGTTCTGCCAATTTACCAGTACATGATATGTACAGATGTTTGGCCAAGATAGTCAATACAATATGTTTAGTCTTTTTTTGATAGATTTGTTGATTGTTTGCACACTACCACACCAACTGGAGAACAGAGCACAATAGTGCCTACCATTTAGATATTTTATGTACTTGATATGACCAGCTTTGAATGCTGATGTATGCCACCCGGATAACCAAACTATGGGTTTACCTGAATGTTGATGTTCCTTCCATTCTACCCCGGTTTCCTTGCGTTTGGTTTACAGGTTTAAAGCTGTTCCGAGGCTTGACATTTCCATACAAAGGATACTTTTCATGATATTCAGTTAGCAGACAGGGCTCTCCACTCTTATCATAGAACCCTGTTGGCAGATGTGGGCAGTGATGACGCCTGTTAAACAAGAAATATAATTTGTTTTTAGTTACTGTCACTATAGTATTGTGTTGACCAAAGCCAGGGGAGGCTTTAAAATCTAGCTTAAACAAAAAAAACTCAGGGATTTATTCTTCCCAGCTGAATTAGACTGGTGGTAGGCTAATAATTCTCCCCTTTTCGTTGTGCAAAGGGCTTTGCAATGCTGCCACATAGTGGTAGCATTCTATACAGAATGGAGCGATGTGCTTGTCTAATGTATCTCCAGTATGAATGGCAAAACAATTTACATGTGATTTATTTCCATTATGTTCATGGTATTAAGCATTCCTGTTCTATGGAATGTTAATGTACAGAGGAATGTCAATATTGTTGTAGTATAACATCAACGAAATATAAATATTATATTCACTAATTTTGTTGGTTTAAACAGCATAAGGTGTCATTGTGTCTATATTATATCAGCAATGTGCAGCGATTATCAAACAGCTATTGCTGTTGTTAACACTTTCATCCTCAATACCTACTCCCCACCCCACCATGCCAGATACTCTGTGAGATTTAATACAAATAAAAAATATAATAGGTGATAATTATCCTATGCAGTTAAAATGTGTACTTAAAATCCATTTTTAATGGCAGATTTGGGAGGGAATACCTAGTTTTGCACAGTCCTAACTGAAGATTCAATACCATCTCCATGACTTTAGCAAAAGAGGATTGTGAGTCTCCATTATTCCTGGTCATAGGAGCAGTAGTTCAGTGCTGTTTCACTGGATACTGTCCTTAAATTAATGCCACATTGAGTAATTCTGGGATTTCTCAACATCTGTGTGGCATGAAGCCAGAAAAACTAATGACATGTCAGCTGCAGCAAAATCTGCTGATTTGTGACTGGTTTCCAGTATTTGTTGACACTATATAAGGCAAGCAATCATTTTTGTCAACAACTTTTACAGACTAAGTTATTGATTAATTTTAAAAATCTAGTAACAAATTTCCCAACCTTGAGAATTAGTTAGCAAATAAAGCACCTTTGCCATTCATTACAGCATGAATTTAAATAATTAATTTCTTAATCCTTAAAACAAGATAGTTGAACAAACTAAAAGCATTTCCCAGCAGTGGCTTTAGTTAAATAATGTCTGTTTTTTATTGCCTGAATTGTAAGAATAATTTTGAATTGCCAGTTTTCTTAAATACAGTAACTATTTTGTTGTTACATGGTATGCATTCAACATGTCTATTTGAGCTTCGAGTTCCTGATCATTTTTCCCTTGGTTTACCTTTACTTTGGGAATTTTCCTCCAATAGCCCTCCCAACGTTATTAGAAATGATTCCTAGGTTTTACCAAACAACACTGATACTTCACAGAAACTGATTAAACTCAGGCCCAGGTCAGATCTAATAGTGCAAAATTACAATCATTGTGTGCTTCTCCACTGAGTTGCCAATAAATTACAAACTCCCGAGTTTTATAGCTTGTGAAACCCCAAATAAACTCGCAAAATCGCAAAAGATCGTGGGATCTGAAGGTAACTGAAATCTGCAGGACCTATACTGGGAATGAATGAGAATACTTGTATTCGATCATGTATCTTATAAAATGGAAATATTTCCAAGCACATCGTGATGAGTTACCTTGAAAAACATCAGGCTCAGTAGTAAACAAACATTTTTATCCACAAGTTGTCTTTTGCTCTTATTCCGGATTTACCTTACTCAGCATCAACATTTTATTTCTAGGCATCTACATTTACTATTATGTGGAGAGCAAAATTCTTGTATTCTTTGTTCTCTCTCAGGGCTATTTTTAAACACTAGTTCTACACTCATCAAACAAGTCAGAAACCATCACTTACACCTCTTAGCATTTTAAGACCAGGATCAAATGACCCATATTGCTCATTATTCCAATGAACACAACTTATGTTCTATGACCCTGTCCTCATAACTGCAAATTGTGGGAATCATATTTGTCACACTTCTCTGGATCAATTCCATTTTATTTGAATGTTGAGTTCCGAAAACTCCATAGTCATTTTAAAATGTGGCCTTGACTCAAACTTATTTTGACTTATAACCAAATATAGTTGAGTATTGAATAATCACACCCATTTTTTTCTTTGTTGATGAATTCTCCTTCATTGTGGACATGTTTTCTGTTTTCTTTTCAATATACATGATATAGGCTTTTTAGATATATAAACAATCGCCCCTCAACCTTACAGTTACAATTTAAGTTATTTAGTCTATTTTATTTCGGGAAGATGACTTTTTGACTTAACTTTACTAATGTTGAGAGTACTAAAATGTTTCAAAGACACATTTTATTTCATTTTACTGTTGAATAATTTTTTGTTCATGTACATATCCCACAACATAATATGCTGTATAACCAGTTTAAATACAAGTACAAGCAACAAGAAACACAGAGTATGCATTATGTCATGACATTCATTGTATGAAAATGATAACAATAAAAATTTAGCCAACTTGATTTGGATATCAAAACTTTTTGAGTAGTGTGTAAAAATGCATAAATATTTATTGTCCATCTGTTCCTCCATTTTAAAAACTTTAGTAATCAGCAATGAATTTATTATCTTCATATGCAGTAGTCCAAAGATGTAAGTACATAAGAATTTATAATTATACATTCTTAGCTGAACTGATGATATATTTTACCCTATGTTTACGGATGATGTATTAATATTCTAGCTAAAGTGATTTTGGAATCATATCCTTATCCAACGCTGAAACACTGTCACCATGTCTGAGGAAGAGCACCGAATGGACTCTGTTGGTATAAGATCCAAAGCACAGCAGGCAGAGGAGGAGGTTTGCAGGATGTCACCTCGGTTGCAATATCCTCCACAGAGTCACTTTACAAATGCATTCCTCAATGCACCTGGAAAAAATGAAGTGACATATTAGACACACGGCTGTCATTGCCACCCTCTCAATCCGCCCCCATCCATGAGACAGTGAGCACTGAAGGCACCACAAGTGTATTCAATGCTGTGCACACTGGCTTACACAAGCTGCACAGCAACATTACATACTTGTCTCACAGATAGCCAAACAGTTTTACTCTATTGCCAGTCTTCTGACTACCTTCCTTTCAAGGACGTCATAAGCTAGAGTTCCTAGAGTCATCTGATGGCCTGACTGCCAAGGTTTCTGAGGCAGCCAGAGGGGGGACTTTGATTAATGCATCATTCTACAGCTGACCCTGTGGAGGATCCCTGTTGTGCCCATTTTCAAAGTTCAGAATTTCTTCAAATAATTAAATTAACTTCTAATTCTTTTTAAGAAAAGTATAATCTATTTACCTTTTTTAATGTTTCTTTTTATATTTCTTCCTCCAAGCCATTTTCCCTTCCATTACAAAATAAAAATAAGGACTCTGCTCACTGAAGCGACCTTGCGTCCAGTACTTTATGGAGGATTCTGGTATCATATGCCACATCTTTATCCATTGGTTCCTCAATTCTTTCTGTCACACAAGTAGAGTTGGCTTGTATTGTGCCAAGCAATTCATTACAACAATTGAATAGAGTTCAATTTCCATTGATACACCTGATAATCTATTTAAGATTGTGAATTTCAATACTTCTATAAATCACAATGCAGTCATAGATGGTTACAGTATGCAGAACGTATGTGTAGTGATGTAGGTGTATTAATTGTTATTTATGTTGTGCTTTATAACATACTGGAAAAAATGTGGAAAGTAGCAACATTCGCTTATTTTCGTCAGATCAGTCTTTAATTCATGGTTTAGTTATTGTATTCCCATCATTATTCATTATAGAAAAAGAAAGAAAAAGAAAGTTTGTGTCAAAAAACAAATTTTTAAATATTTTTGTGATAATTATGCTGTTTATTTCTAATGTATGCATTTTACTATTCATGATAAATGTATGGTAATATTGATCCAACAGGATAATTCTAGCTTTGAAGAAGGTATTCTGAATAAGTTAATCATCAATTCATTTTTATTAAGAATTGATGCCAGGTAATTAATTTGGATTTTAAATATAATTCTAAACTTTTGCTTCAAAATACTTTTTTAAGAATCTAAATAGGAAAGCAGTTTTCCTCTGTTGTATGTACATGCTGGAATATTTCCTATAGTTTCCAGGTAACACTCTATGGCAACCTAATCTCAAATAAAAACAAAACAATACACAATACCTAGACAGAACATGCAAATGTTAGCACTTCCCTCGAAATGACAAAATGCTTTGAAAACCTTAAGCACAGGTTATCCCTAAATTCAGTGCACATTGTACTCACTATAAATTAGAACATAAAAATTTTTTTTAGAGTATAATCATCATAATAACATTGATTTATAAAATAATGAAATTAACTTTAAAGTTATAAAAACATATTTTTAAATGTTTACATCTTGCGCTTACAAAAATATTTTGCTTTGCTGAAGAGTTTCAAGTTTGATAACTCACAGAAACATTTACTTTTTGTGAATTCTGGAGTGCACTGTTTTTTGCAGGTGGCGGCGGGGGGTTACACATTTCATTTGTCCTATTAATTCGCACCTGTTAAGCTGTACCCCATACCAGAACAGAACACTGGGAAGCTTCCCGTAAGCTTATCTTGCTACAACCATCCTATTATTGTACAACGCATCACATTAAAGACATCAACCCTTTAGTCTGTTCCTTTATGTGACAAGGCAATATTGTGACAGACAGAATCAATGGGATAACAACAGTTTGAATGCTATTGATTATTCTGCATTATATCACAGTTTAATATGACATCACAATCATGGCCACTTCACATAGGACCTCGGCAAACCTAAACTCACAAAAATTATCAACCACCACGCGTGTTGTATAATTACAAGTACATAAATATAAGTCTGGAAAAATAGTCTTTCGTGTTGTGAACCATTGCATATCTGGTGCTCATGAATTATGCAGTCTGAGGTCACCAGATCGTTGGCCCATAATTCATTGTTCCTTGTGTATCATGGGTTAGGTTGGTTTCCATTACGACCACAGATTTGACACCAGTAACTGCATTGTACTAGAGTTACACACCCTAATAACAAATAACTCTGTGAGAGCGCCTTCATAGCTGCGGAAAGGCTGATTAACGGATTAAACCCTTGAGAACCATTCTTGTACAATATTAGCTATGTACTGGTGTGACCAAGTCAGTATTATGACGGTTCAAACTCAGCCAGGGTTCTTGTTCCTCGTTTCCAGGGTTTTACAGCACCCTCTACAGGTTCTGTGAATGTGTGGCAGCTGAGTCGAGGGAGGCCAGTCTCAGCTGTGAGGTCCTCTGTGGTCCATTGGCTTTCTGAGACTCACTGTCATGACGTTTCACACTTGTACAATGGATAGCTTGTTAGAGAGTAACCAATTCCCAACAAGAATTCCCAACAAGCCAGGCCAGGGGCAGAGGGGCTCCTGCGTCCCAATGGGGAGAAAATAGGAAAAAAAAATTGAAGCTAACTCTGCAATTAAACAAGCTTCTTTTCAAACCCGCATCTGTTTGGGTAGCAGTAGGAGTGCTAAAATTGCCACCAGGGCCCCTTACTGCTGCATCAAGAATTGGGGGAGGAAAATTTGGCATGTTTCCTGCTCCTGATCATGATCCAGTGATCTCTGATGGGAGGCACACATGGTAAGGCTAACGGCAGACTCAGCTGTGATATGCCCTTCGATATGTCAACTTAGCAAAGGAGAGAGGTGAACGAACATATAGACACAAATGTATAGTATTTTAGGAAGCTTTGGAAGATGGATTAATGAGGTAAGATAGATGGGTAGAGAGAAGGCATTCCAGAGGGTGGTGACAATAACTGTTTCATCACTGATGGCAGGGTGGAGGTAGTGTAGGATGTGCAGCAGGCCTGAATTTGTAGAATGGAGTGGGCTTGCAAGGTTGGAGAAATTCAGATTCAGTTACGAATTGCCTGAAAGTTTATCTCTGTAGCAAACTGCAAACTGTTACAAAATGAGTTGTAAAATGTTTTGTTCAGTTTTAGTACATAACTAATTACATTAAAATGAATGAGAAAGTTCAGTTGTTGAAGGAACATTCTGAAATGTCTATGATATCACAAAGAGGTTGTTACACCAAAGCATTATTTTAAGAGAATAAAAAATCTTCTTTAGATTTTCACTGCTCAATGTGTTGTACAACATCTCATGATATGTCAAAGAGAAATGGATAAAAACAAAAAAAATAAAGTTTATGTGGAGATACTGAAAGGGTTTGAGAGAATTAATCCCGATAAACTCTTTCCATTAGTAGGGGATCTGAGGACAAGATTAATAGGATATCTGGTTAGGGGAATATAAAAACAGAGGTTAGAAAGAACTGCTCCCAGAAATGCATATTGGTTTCAGACAAGTAGCTATTTCTTCCTTTTTTTGTAAGTTAGCAATATTTTATTGGCACATTCAAGGAATAAATCAAGAAGCCTCGAAACCTCAGTAAGCATTCACTGGTTACCAAATATACAGCAATGGACTTAGACCAAAGACAATGCAAGTGGCCTTTTTGGAATTGCGTGATGTTCTCCTTTATTTAAAGCCTAGAAAGACTTTGGAATCAGGAAGAGTTGGACAAACTTCAGGATTAAAAAAAATGAAGAACAACAACAACTTGCATTTGTATAGCGCCCTTCACGCCGGACGGCGTCTCAGAGCGCTTAAGAGATAACATATTTTAGAGCCTACACTTCCCAAAAAATATAACTTACCCACTTCCACTCATGAACACTCAAGATCTTTGCAATACACTAGAACCATAACATTTTGTCAAATGTAACATTTCACAGGTCAAAATTTCCTGCCTTGCAGTAAGACTTAGATAAGAAGATCGCAGCTGTGAATATATATCGGAAGCAACACCGAACATGAAAGCATTAAAACCGTGACTTAAAAGGAAACCGGATGGGTGGGCAGCCACTCCAAAACCCAACACAACCCAGACGCTTTGATGGGAGTTTGGTGTGTGTCCTCGGAACCGGGAGCTCTCCGGGCAGCAGCGTGAGAGCACAGGAATTGGCGAGGCGAAAGGGGACCATCTGGTGCGCCCTTCCATCCTGGCAGGCGCTCGAACACGTCGCGGCGTCCCAAACTGTACGCTGTATTCCCGAGATATTATTCGTCCCAAACTACCCCGAGATATTATGTCCTGGCTGGCATCGTATCTAGTCGGATCTCGAAACGAATGGCATGGTCTGCTTTCTGCTGCCACTGTCTCTCTCCCTGGGGGGGAGGGTGTGGGGGGGAGAGGTGTGTGTGGGGGGATGGGGGGAGCATCGACTCTCAACTTACCCACAGGTGCAGATCTCGCAGATACATTTTTGGTTCAGTCTGGTCATTCTGTGTCTCGCAGTTTACACTGTTCTCATTGCAAAGAAAGAAAGATATATATATATATATACATGTGTTTATATATATATATATATATTTAGACACTAAAGACACTGTGTGTAGTGCAGGGCCGGAATCCTGCAGCTCTCTCTCTCTCTCTCTCTGTGTGTGTGTGTCTCTCTCTCTCTCTCTTCAAGCCTTGATTGTGTCCCAACAGGGACACGCGCCGTCTCTAGGCAAGCGCCGGGGTGTCCCCTGGCAACCGCCGCGTCCCTGGCAACGGCGCAAAGCAGGGCGGGGCGGTTCGAAGGTCAGAGGTCAGGCCGGGCCTCCGCTTCCGGTACATTGGCGCGAACGGGACTCGACGGTCGGGTGGCGTCGGGGCGCGCGTCTCGCGTCTGTGTTTTTGGAGAAAGAAAGAGAGAGAGAGAGGGAGAGGGAGGGATTGCTGCTCCTCCTCCTCCTGCTGCTGCTGCCTTCACCTCCCACCCACCCACCCACTCAGGGTAAGGTGGCGACAAAGCGCTGCCCTGCGCCTTGTTCGCGCATGGGCTGAGCTCATCACGTGTCGCCCTCTCTCCTATGACCAGCGCTTTTGACTTCACAGCCACCTCTGCTCGCCTTGTGCCTCCCCCCCCCCACACACACACCCTCAACAACACCCCCCCCACACACACACCCTCAACAACACCCCCCCCACACACCCACACACCCTCAACAACACCCCCCCCACACACCCTCAACAACACCCCCCCCCACACACACAATAACACCCCCCCCCCCCACACACACACCTAACAACACCCCCCCCCACTCACACACACCCTCAACAACACCCCCCCCCACACACACACACACCCTCAACAACACCCCCCCCCCCACACACACACCCTCAACAACACCCCCCACACACACACACCCTCAACAACACCCCCCACACACACACACCCTCAACAACACCCCCCACACACACACACCTCCAACAACACCCCCCCCACACACACACACACACCCTCAACAACACCCCCCACACACACACCCTCAACAACACCCCCCCCCACACACACACACACCCTCCAACAACACCCCCCCCCCACACACACACACCCTCAACAACACCCCCCCCCCACACACACACACCCTCAACAACACCCACACACACACACCCTCAACAACACCCCCCCCCAAACACACCCTCAACAACACCCCCCCCCACACACACACACACCCTCAACAACACCCCCCCCCACACACACACACACCCTCAACAACACCCCCCCCCACACACACACCCTCAACAACACCCCCCCCCACACAACACACCCTCAACAACACCCCCCCCACACACACACCCTCAACAACACCCCCCCACACACACACACCCTCAACAACACCCCCCCCACACACACCACCCTCAACAACACCCCCCCCACACACACACACCCTCAACAACACCCCCCCCCCACACACACACACCCTCAACTACACCCCCCACACACACACACACACCCTCAACAACACCCCCCCACACACACACCCTCAACAACACCCCCCCCCCCCACACACCCTCAACAACACCCCCCCCACACACACCCTCAACAACACCCCCCACACACACACCCTCAACAACACCCCCCCCCCACACACACACACCCTCAACAACACCCCCCCACACACACACACACACTCAACAACACCCCCCCCCACACACCCTCAACAACATCCCCCCACACACACACAACAACACCCCCCCCCACTCACACACCCTCAACAACACCCCCCCCACACACACCCTCAACAACACCCCCCACACAACACCCCTCAACAACAACCCCCCCCACACACCCTCAACAACCCCCCCCCCCCACACACACACAACAACACCCCCCCCCACTCACACACACCCTCAACACCACCCCCCACACACACACCCTCAACAACACCCCCCCACACACACACACCCTCAACAACACCCCCCCCACACACACCCTCAACAACACCCCCCACACACACACCCTCAACACCCCCCCCCACACACACCCTCAACAACACCCCCCCCACTCACAGACACACACCCTCAACAACCTCCTCTCCCCTCCTCAACAACTCCCTACCCCCCCTCAACAACCCCCTGCCCCCCCTCCTCAACAACCCCTGCCCCCACTCCACAGACACACAAACAACCTCATCCCCCGCCCCTCCTCAAACCCCCCCACAGACACACAAACTCAACAACCCCTTGCTGCCGCCCCCCCCCCCCCCCCCTCCCCCCCCCTCCCCCATCCTCAACAAACCCCCACCCCCCACAACCTGGTGCCCACCTAGGGTTCCCTACCCCCCAATGTCACCTCCTCACCCACCACCCCTATCACCTGATAATGAAGTAACTCCCCAATACAACAATAATAATCTTTGAATTTGCTACAATGCCTTTCTTAATTATGCTGAGTTTGTTGAGGGACATGCAGATTTCATATGCTTATTGATCAATATCTCCGAATGTAGTGTAATATTTTAGGCAGGTGGAATCAGTCTTGTTTATGCTGGTACAGGTATCGGGATGGATTGGTTTTGCAAATGAGGCTTTTTTTAGATTAGATTTTTTAGATTACACCATGTTGATTTCACTAAATGTTGCAATTACTGGTTCGGTTACAAAAGTAAACAAAAACAACTCTTTAGATTGTTTTTCTTTTTTGTAGCTTGTTTTCAGAAGTTATGTCAATATTGATATAGTGAAAGTGTTACATATTGGATTGAAGTGTCAATTTGAATATTTTACAGAATAAGCATTAAAGTTATTGTATTTTCGTATACAATGGAATTTGTCTCATCTCCTCAGATTATATGAGTGAATAGCCCTGAGTTTCCTACATACAGTGAATACTAATTTCTTACACATGGGCTAAATCCATAAAATAATCACTAGTATACTTAATGTAACATAGGTTTTTTATTTAAAAAAATATTTAAAGCATTAATTTTACCACTTTGCACACTAAAGAAGTGAACAAGCAAATAGTTCAGTGTACAGCATAGCAGACACTATTTTGTGAGAGAGAGAAACAACTCCAATATTATGAAATTTAATAGTATCTTAAGTTTTCAAGCTTGTCAACTGCAAGCTTTTTTCTACTGCAGTGTAACACATATAAACTGTAAGATGAAAATGTCCAAGAATGACTCACACGCCATCACATCACTTCAAAGAGGATGTCACAAAACACCATGTATTGAAAGCCAATCCGCTCTTAAATTAATTTAAATTAAGTTAATTTCAACTACTATAGTTTTTACAACTATAGTTGGTTTGCTCCTCAATCAGATTCTCCAGTATTCTGACCAACAACATAATTTTGAAACAGTCTAGTGAGTTATAATATTCTATCAAAACCCTGGCATGTGTTCCTTTAAATTATTCTATCTATATGTGTGGAATTATGAATATATTAATACATAATTGTACTTTTTCAGAATTCAATAAAAAATGGGTCATACTAGTTTGGAAAAAATAATTGCTCTGCAGAGCAAAACTGCCAACATCCGAAATATTTGTATCGTAGCTCATGTGGACCATGGTAAGCTTTCTTTATTTTAAGATCACAATAATGTATTAGTTTTATTGAAACATGAAAGACTATACAAATGTAATTTGTTATAGTTTTTTTATTTTTCCATGTTTACTGAATTATTTTATCCTCAATTGTAAGTAAACGTACCTGTAGTATCTGCATGACTTTAATTCCAGAATGATAAATGCTTCGGTACTTTATGTATATTCTTCTCAAACTTTTTTTCATATTACAACAGGTCTGTAGTTTAAGTATGATGAATTCAGAAATGGTCAAATCTTTAGCCCCAACAAACTTAATTAACACCTGTTTTGTACAATTTTTAGGTAAGACCACTATAGCTGACAGCCTTATTGCTAGCAATGGGATCATTTCTAAACGACTTTCAGGAAAGGTAAGCAATTTTTAACACAGAAGAAAAGTGTATTACAGTAATAGATGAAGTGCCTCACAACAACGCCTTAAGTCATTTACCGAATACAATCCCATCTTTTTGAACCCCAACCAATATAAAACAAAGTCAAAGAATTTGTCATATTTTTCCATTGTAGCTGCGGTACATGGATAGCCGGCAAGATGAGCAGATCAGAGGAATCACAATGAAGTCGAGCTCTATATCATTGTATTTCGCTAAAGGTAATTCATTAACTTAGTTACACTTAATAAGTGTCTAGGTTATATATATTTTTACTAGATGTACAAATGATAGGAGTGTACTCCCAAGTCAGTAATGCATCACAAAATAAACAGTAAATTCACTTTACAGTATATTCTGTGAAGCGCTTTTGAGAAGTCTCGAAGACGTGATAAGGCACTATTTCAAATGCAAGGATTATTATTATTTTATCAAGATAATCGAAGATTGAGACCATTTGATACAATGGGATGTGTCTTGCTAACTGATAGAAACAGCTGTACCAAGCATAACATTTTTAATCTCCATTTGCACAACAGGCTGAATCTCCAAAGACTTATTTTTTTGTTAAAAAAAGTATTGTATTAATTTTGTCTGGGAAATACAGTACAGTCCCAAGTTTTCAATAGTTTTGTGAAGTATGCAGTTTGTTGCATTTCAGACCCACATCTAGAAGTAGAGAAGGCAGTAAATTGTATGGATGAAAGAGCTTGTAATTAATCCCAAGGATGCAACAATTTTATTTTGAGCCATCTGTGTTAAAAATGTTTAGTAGGAATGTAGTAAACATGAAGTGTGCATACTTCACAATCGGCACACCACTGCATGTGTCTGGCAACTTTTCATACCGATTCATTCCAGAAAGTGGTTTAATGAAAGCAACAATATTTGAAGAGGATTGCCTGAATTACTGCATGAGATTTGGTGCATTTTTATGGAGGAAGTGGTGGGTTGGGAGAAGTAGCAATAGCTCTGTGAAGGACAAACTGCAATTTTAAAACATAATTGAATATGATACACAGTTTGTCAGATCCAATTAAGACCTTCTGGTTTCCACACTGCCAAATTACAGAGCCAGAGTGTCCAGATTTCAATTGTGTTGCACCCAACTACTTTTTGCTTCCTTGGTTTCATGACAGTTTCTGTTTCAACTATTTTGTGCTTTGGACAGGATTTGTTCCCATCAGAATTGTGGTACCATGAATAAATTGCCTTAAAGAAAATCATTAACCTCATTTTCTTGACATTTATTGAAATTGGAGGAGCAATCCTGGTGCACTGTTACTATAACAATTTTAAATGTGTGAAGGTAGCAGGATCTGCGGTCAGACATTTCTTGCACAGCAATTGTGTCTTTCACTATAATTGGTCTAAAGATAGTTTTATGTCAGGGAAGCAGGCTGCTTTGAGCACTCACCGCCTTATGTAATACAATATCCTCAGGAGAAAATTGTATTTTTTTTATTTACCTGCCCTTTTCCTTTCTTTGCCTCTCTCTATTTAGATCCTTTGTTTTTCATACTTAATTCTAATTCTGTCTGTGATCTCTGATCTTTGACCAGCAGAATCCAGATGGTGAATGTGAGCCATCAAGAACCCCATTTTTACTCAAGCCTACTAGTAATTTGCTCACTGGGGAGTTCTTCAAAGTAGGTTTAGTGCCAGCTCTAATATAAATAAGATTTGCTAAATAATTCTTAGTTTCAGGTTGTAAGTAAGGAACAATGCCACAATAATCCATTATTCTGAGGTGGGCCAACTTAAGTACACGTGGAGTTTAAGAGCCAGTTGTGTGCATCCTTTTGTGCCAATTTAACAATTGTTGTAGACTGACCATTAGTAGTTATCTAAACAAAACTTTTTGGTATAATAAATATTCTGTTCCATCAATATCTTTGCTCTCATTTACTTTCAATTAGTAATGAAAAATCTAATTGAGCAATGCAAAATTAGACCACATTGGGGGTTTTAAATCACATGAACTGGACAATGGAATTTACCTGATATATTCATGTGATTAATAAATGAATGGCTGATGAATGTCAATATCCAGGCACATTTTGATACGCTGTTGCTATTTCCCAGATAACCAGGAGTACCTGATCAATATGATAGACTCTCCTGGCCATGTGGATTTTTCTTCTGAAGTATCGACTGCTGTACGAGTATGTGATGGTGCCATTGTGGTAGTAGATGTTGTTGAAGGTGTCTGTCCTCAAGTAAGTTGAAGAAAGAAAAGTTTTTTTTTAAATGTATAACCTTTGGTCTGTTCTCTATGTAGAGTTGCATTGTTGGCCGTTGGACAAAAAAAATCGTTCAAAAGGAGAAGTGCATATAAATGTAACATACAAGATGTGTACATTTATTTCCCTTACCTACTTAGACACTTAAATTAAGTATTATTTTTCTGTCTCCTGTGATGATAGTTATTGTAGATTAAGATACTGGTTATCCTGGCTTTTCTTTTTTTCTTAATCCACATTTAACCCCAAATTCAAATTAATTGACTGCTGAAATAATCCATTTGTTCCTGGTAGAGGTTAGCTGCCAGTTTTGTTTTATTAAAAAAAGACATTTTATTTTTAATCAATTGTGTTTGGTGGTAATATTTTATATTTCAACAACAATACCCCAAATAAAATTTGTTATTCATTTCATTGGTTTGTTTGGTGGAACATTGCTGTGTGCAAATTGGGCGATCAAATTTCTAGTAGGCTCAACTAGAAATTGGGTTCCTGATATGCACATTTGCCTGAAATACACGGACACCACACTTCACAGTTAAAACAAAATCTTGTGAAGAGAGTTGAGCTACCTCAACGATGTAATAAGATGCTTTATCAAATGCAAAGATTACTATATTTCAGTTATTTATTTTTACATGAAAGGCTTATTTTTTACGTGAAATAATATCAATCTGTTAATAGTGTAACATGTAATTTGTTTTATTTACCACTCCTTTTGTCTTCATGACTAAGATTGTTGTTTTGTGCTGGACTAACACACATTGGGAAGCAGGTTGAGATTGTACAAGCTTATTTCACTGTTCGTTGCTTATGGCTGCTGGGGGAAAAAGGCAAGAATGCAATGCTAAACTGCAATCGCTAAATAATAAAGTGTGATGTTTACTTTCAGACACAGGCCGTCTTACGCCAGACTTGGTTGGAGAACATCCGTCCAGTATTAGTCATCAACAAAATGGATAGATTAATAACAGAGTTAAAGTTGACTCCATCTGAAGCTTATACCCAATTGCAGAAGATTTGGAACAGGTAAAGAATCCAATAAACTAAAAACTTGTTTTTTATGATTTATATGGTATGGATTAATTAATAGGCAGCTGTGTTCCTAGCTAGTATCCGTGGTTGCCTGAGAATCTTGTATAAACAAAATAGCCGGTCTCCATCGAGTAAGTGAGATGACTGTTTATTTAGTTAACTAAATGGCTGTCATTTTATATTGAAGTACTACCTGTACTTTCCTTAATACAACATTTATTTCTTCCAACTTGCCTAATTGTATCTAAAGCTGAAGAATAATAGTTAATATCTAATAATATTGCCATACTGCTCTTAATGTAGTCTTTATACGTAAATTACTCTTGTTATTTTAAAGTTTGGACTAGCAAATTATTAATTTGATATTGAATTTGTTTTTGAACATTTAAGATAAATGCAGTCACTGGGAGTCTTTTTACATCAAAAGTACTAGAAGAGAGAGCAGAAAAGGATGTCAAAATGCTGTCTGATTCCAACTCCATGAACAGTAAGCAGGTTTATGACTGGAGTACTGGCCTGGAAGAAACCGATGATTCGCACCTTTATTTCTCCCCTGACCAGGGTAATGTGGTATTTGCTAGTGCCATAGATGGATGGGGCTTCAGGTATAGAAATCTTTCAGCAGTATTTTTCTAATCACTTGTTTATATTTTCATATCCTATATCCTTATATTTGATATAGCGCCTTATTATTACATTTATAAAGTGCCTTTCACGTCGGGAGGATGTCCCAAGGCACTGAACAGTCAGAAATATACTCTAAAGTGAATTGACTGTTTATTTTGTGGGTGAAACGCAAAGTCCCACAAACAGTCATGGATTGAGTGACCAAATTATTATTTTTTTTTGAAGAGATTATTACACTCACAAAAGTGATCCGCCAATCGACTAACATTCAAGTTCCTACATACTGCTAGGTAAACAGGCGTGTGGAGTAAGGAAACTTACCTAACACTTCCTCCTACCCAGGAATTGAACCCAGGTCCTCTCACTTGCGAGGTGAGTGCTAATTAATAAGCTACAGGACTCCCGTTGACTTACTATTCAAATTTAATCTGTCTAGTAATGTAACCTGTAGTTACATTTTGTGTATCTTGGTGGAAGTCTTAGGGAATGACATTATTCCTGCCATTAAGTGTTAATGGCTTTCTTGATGTGTGCTAATAATTTTCCCATTATAAACACTCAACATGAGAGTTGATACATTAATTGCAAAAGAAATGTCTCACTCCCAGTAAGGATTATATTCTTTTAAATACCATTTTTTTAAAAAAATGCAGAAATTTTTTTTCTGGAATAGCAAGAATGATGTATGACTTGCAAAAAGATGAGCATAGAAAAAGTCCTAGAGTTATACAAGATCCATTTGATTTCAAGGTAAAGAGTGACTAGATAGAAAGCGAATGATGGAAATATTTTGACAGATATGCTTGTCAAATTCAATCAGTGCATGAGTTGGAAGGTCTGAGAATATTGCTAATTACAATGCCAGACATGGAATCCAATCAAGGAGTATTAAATTTGAATTGTAACCTAATAATTCCACATGGGACCTTTCACCAATGTTAGCCACATCATTTATACTGTACAGGGAAAAAATGAACCCTGGATCTTTTCTTGCATAATGTACCTCTAGATGGAGTTACTAACTCACCACTTCATTTTTTTCTGCTCCGCTCCTATTCTTTTTGAACTTTGGTTTCCTGCTTGTGTCCCATGCTATGGTTTAGACGGAATTTTCAATTTGAAAAAAGTCCAAGAAATAGCATCTTAGAGGTCTCCTTGTCCTGCACTTCAACTAGTGAATAATAGCATGGATATGTGGGAGGAACTGACTAGAAAGAAGGGGAGAATGTTGCTCATTATTTTACAAAACCACTTTATAATGTAAGTCTAGTGATTACATTAGATAATCCTGAAGAGGTGGATTAAGCTTTTTAAATGGTTTCCTCTCGATGGAAACTGAATTCCTTTCAGAAATAGCAAATCTGGGAACAACTATAATTTTTCCATTGCCAGAAAATTCTGGTTGTCAAAATCACTTAGAATTTTATAAATGTGAGAATAATTTGAAGTCCTACAGAGTATCCAAAGCATTTCACAGCTTATGGTTGGAATATTTGTCAGATGAAATTGGCAGTGTCCCAAATGGAATACCCAAAACTCTCAAGACAGATGTCTTCTCTGATAGCTGATGAGAAAACTCCTAAGGGTTGGGGCCACAGCTGCTGGAAGCCATTACCTGGTGTCTGAGTTTGTGAACACATGCATCAATTGCTTGGAATCTGTCTTGATTGGTTTGCAGAAATGTTAGCAGCTGCTGCTCAAGTTCTGCACCTCCAACTGGTGGAACCATCATTTGATGGGAAAGGATGCAAGTCCAAGCTGTGGCCAGGAACAAGGTGGCAATGCTCTCACCCATTTCATGCTGAGCTGTATTTCCCACCAGGAAGTTCGCGGGGAGTTCCTGGAACCTGCTCTCCGCCTAGTGAGGGCTCAAACCCGGGCTTGTCAGATGTCAAATGGCAATTAGTGACTTACCACTCAGCTCCCGCTAACTATGGAAGGCAAAGCTCTAACGGGTAAGATGGTCCTAGCTGGACAAGTAGCAGGAAAACTTGCCAGACAGTGCTTTCAGTGGCAAGCTAAGCAGTACCCCAACGCACAATCTGGGATCCCCAAGGCTTGTCTCTTGTCAACCTGCCTCATGCTCTCCAGAATTAGGTACGCAGGTAAGCACTCCCGCAAGGGAGAGCGTGTTTATTCCATTCCAATAAATTGTCATGTATAGGTGGGATGCACAGAACTCGGTTTGATTTGACTGAAGCATGATGATAGAGTTCTGCATGTGTCAGACACCCGACTCACTAAGAAAAAGTCAAGAGAGTTGAAGCTGGCATTTATTTTCCTATTATTGAATAAGTATTGTATCTGCAGCTTTTTGTTCCTCCATAATATCCCTACAATTTTGTAACATTTTAGTACACATTAAGTGTACTTTAGTATCTCTTCTAGCTTGCCACTACGTAGCTTGCAGCTGAGCCATCTAGCCTGCTTGCCTTGATGAAATGGCACTGAGCTACTCAGTAGGTTAAAATATTTCATTACTTAGTGGTCAATAAATTCATATTATTCTGGTGCAAGTCTTGAGTGGGATAACTTGATTTTTTCTTGGTGATCAAAAAAAGTGATTTGCAATTATACTTCTTCAGAATGCTGCAAAAAAATGTAACAATCTGAAATACTTTAGATAGCCTAAAGGTGGAGCAGGAGTCCCATGGGTTAAGTATATTTACTAAAGTTGTGTCATAACGCCAGTCAGCAGTGATTAGTTTCTTTCTTTGATTCTAAATGTACCTTTCAGCCATTTTGCGTGCTCTGTACTCTGGCATTCGGTCTACTTCTTTAAACAATCATTTATTTAGGCAAGATCTAGAAACATTATTTATTGCCCTGACTAGTACTTGTACTTAAACTGGCTTTTCAGTCAACCATTGTTGCTGCTACACTTTAATCTGAATCTGGGTAACTGAATCCTAAAAAAGAATTAAGTGTGCTGTTTGGATAGATGGAACTTGTTAGTGGGATAGGAGAGCGCTGCAAAAGGTCATAAAGGATCATTACAGTAGGAAAACAGAGAGAGAATTGTAGGATTGGAAACTGCCAAATATATGGATATTAGTTGAAACTTGGTGAGTGGCTTTGTCACAAACCTAAAATGGACACCAATTCACCCCTGGCTTAGTCTGCAAATAAAATATTGCAGCCAGGTCATTAACTTTGATGTATTATAGAATTGAATTTTAAATTTCCAAACTATTACTGTATTTAAAAATATGTATTGTTTCCTATTTACGGTGTTTAACTACTGTTCTTTTTTAAAAAAACTTCATCTTTTTGATAGCTTGTACCTCCAGAATACGTTTGGCAATCTGTTTTGGATACAATGTCATTGATGTATTCACATTCATTCGGGAGCATTTCCCATTGACTTTTAAATTTATAATAAAGATAGTTTACCACCAGTAAATGGGATTCACAAAGTAAAGCTTAAAGTCTTACTCAGCTGTGCAGCAGCTGTCGTTTTCTCATTTTATCACAAATGTTTTATTTCAGTACCCTCATGAAGCATATGGCACTTTCCAGTAATCCTGTTAGTGCTTATTATTGAGTCTTAATCTAATGCTGTTGCACCATGTAGCTAATGGTCTTTGTTACTGATGTGTGACTAAACAGAGTAGATTATGACTGAAATTGAAAACTGAAAAATATTGTCAACAAAGTAAGAAGTCATGTTTTCTTCCCTTTCTGAAGTCACTGACAGATGCTTGGGGTATGGATCTGCAGATGTCATGTTGTTCAGTGTCTTGTGCGAATAGCCATTCTTTATGCGTACCTAAATAAGGTAGGGTTGGCAGACTGTTCATCTTTGGGGGAGGGGTGTACTGTAGCTGAGCCCAAATTTGTCAACCCATGTACAACTCTCCAGAAGGAGTTACTGGAAAAAATAATGACTGAGATCACTGCACTGCTGTGGAGGCCATGGAAAGTACATAAAGAAATAATATATAATAATAATAATCTACACATTTGATATAGTGCCATCGTTATTATGTCGTTGAAATCTCAAACCGCTTCACAGAAAATATTGTAAAATGGATTGACTATGTATTTTGTGGTTGAAACTCATTATTGGGAACTGAAATCCTAGCTGTTTTTATGTTTTCATCTCCATGGCTCAGAGGCATTAAGGCACACTGCAGCACCTTTATGGCTTCCCTGACTCAAATCACTCCCAGGCATCAATGTTCTCGGTCTGCATATGTCAGCCTTACACAAGAGGTGGCTTTGTCAACTGAGCTATCGGAGGAGTTCAGAAAAATACAATATACACAAGGTCTGGTCTGTGTTGAGAGATGTGATTGTTAGAACAGGTGTTTACTCTCACCCTTATCATTAGGTTTTCCTTTTCATTTATTAATTATACCTTCCTTGTCTTAGAAAGTAAAATGTAGTTAAAAATTTGAGTTTTATTAAAAAAAAGCAAGTTAAGCAGCTGTTTTTAATCTTATTCAGGAAGACAGGACAAACTAGTTTTTTTTGTGTTTTTCCCCCACTCTTTCCCCTGGGATCTAATAATTTTTTGAATTAAGATTTCCGTAAAGCTTAATGATGGCTTTGTGAAATGTTCAGAATATGTCCACTCACACTGAAAGAGCAATGAAAATAGATCCAGAGGCACTGAGAAAGAAGTGCAGTTCGATTGTTTTCCTTGTTTTCGAAACTTGTATCTGGAGAGAGAGCATGTTGAGCTTGTATAATCGAGTAATAGGGAGAAGTACTGGTGGTTAACAGTTTGCTACTTGGGGTAGTAAAAAGATCAGTACTGTATAAGATGATGGATATCAAATAAAAAGTTTTTTTATATACAGAATATTACAAGATTGGTTTGGATGAGGGTCCTTCAGGTTATTTAATCTCATCCTTCCAGAATACCCACCATCCCATTACAGAATCAAGCTGTTTTCTAAATGAGTCCAGTGTTCTGGTTTCAATCACCCTTCTTGGCAATCTGTTCCAGTCATTAATTACCCTCTGGGTAAAGAAAAGTTTCCTGGTGTCTGTGCTGAAATTGCCCTCTGTAACTTTAAACCTATTGGTACCAATATAGCAATCACAGCTCATAGTTTAAAATGTGTTCTTTATACTTGTTGAGTTGTTAGGTGTCCCTCTATTGATACCTAGAAGTTTATTATCGCTGAATTGTTCCAGGATTAATAATTTGAAGCCTGGAAAATGCTCATGACTTGGTTTCCTTGTTATGTGAACAATTGTTGGTTTAATTGAATATTCTCATTTGATTGTATTTTGACCTGAAATTTGTCCTAACCATTATGACCCCATTACTGCTTTCAGATACAGTATAAGGCAACTTTAAGCTTATTTTTCATCATTGATGATCATTACAAGGTTCACTGTTTTACTTCTCAGGTTTCTCTATAAGATATAATTTTATTATGGCACTGTACAATAAAGTTTGTGTGTGTGTGCCCAACAGCCTTAATGCCAATTTACATTTCTATTACCCAGTGTTAATATCAAGAACTCTATCCTGTTCCTATTTGTATTGCATTAGTGGGAACATCACCAATATGCATCAAATAAGAAAATCGTTTTTTTGCAGCATTGAACAGTTTGCCCAGATGTACAGCCAGAAAATCGGTATCAATGCCGAAGTTTTACTGAAGACTCTCTGGGGTGACTATTATTTGAATTCAAAGGCAAAGAAGATAATGAAAGGAGCCCAGGTATGTTTATCTGGTGACAATCCATCTAAAAAGGAAAGTATTTATTAACAGTAGTAATTTGGGTGAAATCATTTATAATTTTGAATTTGAATCCCTTATTTCTACATCTGTTTTTATTATAAAATATACAATGCATAGGCACTTTTCCATGGTTTGCACAACTCATACATTCCACTACCAGTTTAATGCAGGAATATGGACAATTTTATGCTTTGCTTTTTGTGAGTTAGCTCGGTTCAGACAGTGGAAGCTCATTTGATAAAGGGATAATCTAGATTGAGGCCAGGTCCCAGCAGTGTAAAGCATGTTATAATAATAATAATCCTTGCATTTGATATAGAGCCTTACCACATCTTCGACACGACTCAATGAGGAGTCCTGTAGCTCAGTGGTTAGAGCACTCGCTTTGCAAGCAAGAGACCTGAGTTCAATTCCAGGCAGGGCGAAACCTTGGGCAAGTTTCCTTACTCCACACGCCTAATAATAATCCCTCCAAAAAAACCAAAAAAAAACAATAATAAATTGGTCACTTTCAATCCATGACTGTTTGTGGGATATTGCTGTGCGCAATTGGCTGCCGCGTTCGCCCACAAATGTACAGTCAATTCACTTTACAGTCTATTCTGTGAAGCGCTTTGGGACTTCCTCCCGACGTGAAAGCGCTATATCAAATGCAAGGATTATTATTATTAAAGCGCTTCACAGAGTAAAGTGAACTGACTGTATATTTTGTTGGCGAAACACAGCAGCCAATTGCACACAGCAGTGTCCCACAAAAAGTCGTGGATTGAGTGAATCATGGTTTGAGTGAGTCGTGGATTTATAGTTCTAAAACATAATAATAAAATCCTAATAGTGTATTATATACTGACTTTCTATTTTCTTATTAAACATTTGGCTGGTTTGTAATAAGGCATAATCAATGATTGTAAATATTTCCAATGCAAAATTTCAATAGGTAATCTACCTTGTTTCTCCAAAGTGTCAGAATAATGGTTCAATTGCAATTATATGCAGTATAAGAGCTGTTGCAACCTGCCAAGTTCTAACATTGTATATTGTAATAGCTAAGCAACTTTAGAGTATCTTGTTTTTTTTTCTATTGATTGATTTGAGATTCTTTTCTATTCTCCTCACCCCTTCCCCCAATCCCAGGGAAAAGGAAAAAAAACTCTCTTTGTACAGTTTGTACTAGAAAACATTTGGAGTCTTTATGAGGCTGTGCTTATCAGAAGGTAAGAAGTATTTTATTATGTTAAAATGTATATTTCACAATATTTTTTATCATGCATGCAGATATGAAAGTTAATTCACATCTTAGTCTTCACAGCAATAACTTAAAGCTGATCTAACACAATTTGAATATATTATTGCCTTCCATTTCAACATAATAACCAAAATTGAATTACAGAATCATAAAAATGGGAAATGTTAATTTTTGGTCCATATGTGTAAATGTGAATTGATTTTGCAGGAAGAAATAAGCATAATATTTTGTAGAATAGCGAAACACCCATGACAATTCTTTGATCAAGTCTTGGATTTAGGTATATAAATAGTGTTAAAAATTGTAAAAATGCATAAACATGATAATACTGTTGAAAAATTAGGAAACATTAAAATGAGTGTTTTTTCTTGATTCTAGTTTATATAACATTTATGGAAGAGTAAAGATTATGTAATCAGATTGTGACATTGTTGTACTGCTATGCATGAGTACTGTTGCTTAAAAAAACTTTGTAATTCAGTGTTATACTCATTCAGATTAATAGTTAAGTATAGCAGCAGAAATTGCCATGACTCATGCTCATAAAGGTAAGTTTTCTGCTTCAGTAAGAACTGTATAATAAAGATCAATCGCCATTGTCTAAATTCTTTAGTAGTTGAACAAAAGCTTATTTTGTTAAAAACTTGCCTTTGCAATTACAGCTTCTGCACTTTCTACCATAAAAGTTTCTGCGCAAAGGATACTTAATTGTTTGACATCTTTCTTGTCTGGCACGATTCTAAAGTTATTCTTTTTCAATTTCTCAGCTTCAACCATAAGTATTTGCAGTTTATTTACATATAGTTTTGCAACTGCCACTATCATTCACCAAGGTTTAGAGGTGGTTTGAACAGTTCCAGTGCAGTGTTAACTGTCGAATGAAACATTATGCAGGTGGACCAAGTAAACTTTGCATTCCAGTAGTTGGTTGTACTAATGGCCAGATTTATAATTGGAATTCCCTGGCAGCATGGTGGTGGAGCAATGTGTAAGAGCTTCATTGCATTACACCATGAATGGTAAGATGCAGGTCTGTGCTTATGATATCTTCATAACATGACACCCTGATCTCCGCAGATAATTGGGGAGGTGGACGGGAAGCAAAATACTGCCTGAAAGGTTGAGAGGAGAGAGTTGAATGTCACAGGGGAAACTTTCTACTCATTTGTCAAATTCTAGATTTCCTCCAGTCAATCAAGAAATCTATAATCTCCTTCCAAAGTCTTCTGTGAGTGTGGCGATTTGTAAAATTGGCCTTTATGAAGTCTGTGGATGCAGTCGTTTGAACCTGACAGAAATATTCTAGGTATTTAAGAAATTAATGCAGTTATTCTCAATTTTGAACTTTTTTTGTCTTTTGTTTCTAGGGACAAAGAGAAGATTACTAAAATCATAACCTCTCTGGGTCTAACGATTCTGCCTCGTGATTCACGCCATAGCGATCCGAAAGTACATCTCAATGCCATTTGTAGTCAATGGCTACCTGTCTCCAATGCTGTGCTGTGTATCCTATAATATTGTGGGATTTTTTTTAAAAATCCTTGAATTTTTAATTGAAATAATGCATGGTAGGACAAATCACCGGTGATTGTAATTATGATGGCTGGCGGCGATAGCACAAAGAATACTATCAGAAGATATTGCTATCGAAAAATCTATATAGTGACGAAACTTTTCTCTTTATTTTTCATGATAAAATATAGTAACCACACATCGCAGGAGTCATCCACCTAGAATTGCATTACCTGTTTGGACTGACTTTCAAGGTTGAGGAGATATCTACACCTTAAGTGTGGCTTGAATTAATGCAGACTTGTTTGGCCTTTCCAGGCATGTCTCCTTGGAGCCAGTTCAAAACTCCCTTTTCCCAGGGGGATATTATTTTAGACATGGTGCCCATTTTTATCAGCCTCTAAAGGGTAAAGTGCTGACTGAACCCAACTGGATTTAAACCAGATCCCAACAGAGTGAATGACTAAAACGTTGGTATTTGTTACAATTATTTTAAAACTTCTAAATTTATTGAGTAGCTGGGCTACTTATGTGACAACATTGTTGAAACTAAGGAAATAAAACTGGATTGCTGCTGCTTAAAGGGTGGGCAAGATTTCTTGCTCTGTTTTGTATTCAACACACTGCATACAAAATCTAGTTGAAGTAAGTGTTCCATGTTTAACTGCTAATGCCACTGTGTGACCTTCTGATAGCATTTGGAATTGAACAGTAATCTGATTTATATTGATTGTGCCAATCTTATTTTCCAACTCACAAGATAAATTCTCAATTTGTTATTTAGATTAAATCATTGCACTGTCTTCACTTTTGTGCATGTTTATTTAATATTACAGTTGAATTTTTCATCAGTAAATACATCCTAGCAGTTTATATAAAGTTATTTAACATTTTGATTTGTGGAGTAGAAAAATGAGTTTGAGTTCTGCATTGCAACTAACGAAACAGTGTTGGTTGTGCAAACTGTTTCACATCTGATTTTTAAATAGGAATATCTGTGCCACCAACATGCTATCGAACTCTTGAAAAATTGAGACAGTGACCTGTTTTGCTAAATTCTGCTACCACCTATTTTATTAATTTTTTGAAGTTGAAGCACCATTTTACAGACTGCAGCTCCAGAACATACCATCAAGGATGATTAATGAGAAGGAACTATCCTAACAAAACTATTTTTTAAACCGTATCAGCATCTTGGGACGTCCTCCTGACATGAAATGCGCTATGTAAATGTGTATTGTATTATTCCCATCTCAGCTTGGGAGCCCAGCTAGCATTATCGAACACTTTAAGATGTGAAACGTGCTAATATAAATGTAAATTGTATTTATTCTACAAAGTTGCTTATTTGAGGTGAGGAAAATTGTTCAAAACTATAGGATGTATAAGTTAGTGAAAGGAATTTCCTCAGGAAAGGATCATTTGAAAAATGTAAAGTTAATACTGCTTCTCATCCTATCAGTTATTTTCCACCTTGAATATCTTTTGTTTAATTTAAAAATAGTAGTATAATTGTATAGCAGTAAATAACCCAAAAGACTATGATGTAGTTGTTAGGACATACGCAAAATTAATTACAGTTTTGTGAAGAGGGCCAATGAATATAATGAAACTTTGGAATGACTTCTGACATGGCAAACAAACATTAATACTATTGTAAAAAAAACAACGCTCTTCATAGGCATGAAACTTAATGTGTGTGCGTAGACATAACAAAAAATACTTCTGTTTCTACTCTTAATGTGCTATTGGGAATAAAATGGAACTGCAGGAAATATAGTGAAATATGTTTATAATGACTTTGTTTTAATATGGGTTCACTTATAGAATGATTGGAGTATGGATCTTGACCTTTACTTACAGAAAAAAATCCAAAATGTGCAGAGGAAACCAGTCAACAACCTGGTGACCTGTAAGTCGGTCATATTCAAAAATGAGAAGTTGTTTGGCACCTGTGTGCCGGCTTCACATGGATTAAATGCAGGAGAGTTGACTGACGAATGCGCCCCATTCTAATGCTAGTCAGGATTAAATGGACTTGATCCACCATGTTATAATGGGGGTTCCACTGTCTTTTTTCCGATTACTCTGAATGTTTGTATCAGTAGAGTTTCATCAAAATATGAGATAGTCAAATGGGGATTTCTCTTGTCTAGCTGGTGCCAATTCACCCAGATTAATCTAACAGTAAGTTGCATACATTTTTGGTTTCCTTGACTGCCCACCATAGCAATGGTGTGTGACAAACTCCCTAGTCCCTTGGATATTGCAGCAGAGCGGATTGAGAAGCTCATGTGCGTTCGAGCCCAAAAGTTTGATTCACTGCCTGCACAAACCCAAGCTCTCAAGCAAGGTAAGTGTTCATGCATATTCTGCCAGCTCCTGAGAATAATAAGTACCCTGCTCTTAAATATCTTTTCGTTATTTTTATGTTTATCTTTGATATCTATGGAATTATTAATGTGGATTTATCCTTTATTTTTATTTTTCCAAATTAAATTTGGTTTAGGATCTTTTTCTGCTGCAAATGAAAAAGTTTGCCTTGTCATTTTCGCTGTTATGATGCCCAAATGTATTTTCCCATCTCAGTAATTCATTGTTTTTTGGGAGGGGGATTTACAGAAGTTGTATCTTCGGGTACCAATTCTGTGTTAAGGCATGAAATTGTCTTACACCTTGTGGGTGGTATTATTTAAATGTATCTGTTATTTTGGGCTAGTGGTAGTGAGTGACCACTGGATTCGAAATTTCATAACTTGGAGCGCATTACTTGTGTGGAACAGTGTAAATACTGTATTTTACTTTATATTCTAATCATGCAAGTGAATTCTGGATTTAAAGTACTGTACCATGGAGTCTTGTAGCTCAGTGGTTAGAGCACTTGCTTTGCAAGCGAGAGACCTGAGTTCAATTCCAGGCAGGGCGAAACCTTGGGCAAGTTTCCTTACTTCACACACCTAATAATAATCCCTCCAAAACAAAAAACAATAATAAATTGGTCATTTTCAATCTACGACTGTTTGTGGGACATTGATGTGCGCAATTGGCTGCCGCGTTCGCCCACAAATATACAGTCAATTCACTTTACAGTATATTCTGTGAAGCGCTTTGGGACGTCTAGAAGACGTAAAAAGCGCTATATCAAATGCAAGGATTATTATTATTATCATTACTAAGAATGTGCTTTTTATAGTGTGCTACAGAATGTATTAATTGAGCAACTGGTACCAAACAACAGAATACCTATTTTCTTTGTATGAATATACAAGTGATGAATAATTGATTCTCTTTAAACAAGTTGGCAGGCCATATTGTAGTGTTACTATTTTGGCAAGCCAAAGCTGTAAATGGTAATTTATGAATATTGCTGTCTTCTATTGTGAAAGCTACATGTATTACTACAAACACTGGTCATCATAAATTATACATTCTGTTTTACAAAATGCTCATGTGAATATCAATAAACAGTAAGAATGGCGAGAACCCTCTAAGTTTGTACAATGGGTGAATTTTAAATAGTTTGTTTGTCATGAGTTGCTTGTTTGCCACGCTCCATTGCTTTAGAACAGCTTGCTTTTACTACTTATAAAGCTGTAGGAATTAAGAAAAGCTGATATTGAAATACGTTTGATCATAAAATAATGGTAGGATCCTTTGTAGACATATTAGTTTAGATTTGCAATTTGTTTGTTGCATAAACCAATCTGGTTTTACTGTCCTGTGGTTACAGTGGCTCTTTGAATTTGTGGAGAGGGAAAACTTTTGGAATTGCAGATGTCATTAGGAAATGCTGCTGTTTTCTGCTACAGAAACCACGGTTCAAAATTCAGCTCCCAGCGAGATAAAAAGATACCGGATGTTTTGATCAGTCAAAAGTGCCTCAGGACATTTTAATTTGTTGTGGTCAACCAGATGGCAGAAGCAAAGAAATATCCACTTGAAATAGAAACAAGTTGTTTCTTCACATGGGTGGTGAATATGAGTGCCATTCAAATTCTTTAAATTGTGTTGCGGTACAGAAATGTTACCACAGTCCTAAAAGTATATATTATTAAATGAATGTTAGAGTGTTTGGTAATTACAGTATATTTAAAAGGCAGTTCTGGTTGTACTAAACAAGAGTTGCATTAATTTGAGATTGTGCTGCAAATTCTGGTGTCTCACACCCAAATTTAGGCATTCTCTTTTCTAATCTGATCCATTACCTAAAGATATGATCTCTGATGTAGATATGGCCCCACGTCAACCAGTTATTGGGAGTTTAGTGAATCAGCACTCTGCAGACAAAATTCATTCAAAGCTCAAACATCAGGTTAACAAGAATATTTTTATCATTATTTCACTTTGGCGCATTCAGCCAGTTTGTCTTCTGCTCAAGTGAAAATGCAGCCATCTTCTACACTAGCAATGCTATTGAGAAGTCTGACTTCATTACATTATGGTAGTATATGTCAGGTAATGGTGAGAGAGAGATTAGTCGATAAAAGACATTCCGAGGAGCTTTTGTAAAGGAGAATACTGGTTTATATTAGTGCAGAGTTCCATTTTTTTAAACTAGATTACTTTTATTAGATTTTTTTGTAAACTCAGAAGTTCCCTCATTGTGTAAAGGTAACAGTTGTATGGTTTAAAATAAGTGCTGAAAATGATGTTTCAAAATGTAAAAGTGGCATCCTTGCTGTACTACCCAATCCACCACCCGGCACCTCCACTGGACTGGCACCGGCCTCCTGCTTGACCCTCGCACTCTCCGCCCCACCAGTGGAGGTCGCGCTTTCAGCCACTACGCCCCGAAACTCTGGAACACACTTCTTCAATCCCTACGTCTTGCCCCCTTTCTTCCCTTTCCAAGTTCTGCCTGAAGACTTACCTCTTCATCCGTGCTTATGGGCACCTCCTCCCACCCCCCCCACCACCCACCCAGCTCCGCCTCTGCTAAGCACTCAGAGACTCAATCCTGCGTGGAAGGTGCTATGTAAGTTGAAATAGTGGAAGCTTTTGACTTTTTCAATAAATTATGCTTCCTCATTTTTCCATGAACCCATTAATAATAGGAATATAGTTTTATGAAGGAAAATATCTGTTACAGAAATATATCATTTTTCTTTTGGTCGGTTTTGTGTTTTACCATCTGGAAACCCAATACTTGACTTGAGTATCCAAACTGGAGAGAGTACCCACAAATGGAAATTTCTCTGTGTCTGGAATAGAATGCAGCCTATCTCCCAAGTACCCTGATTTCCTAATTTCAGAGAGTATAGGTGCAGGTTGGCTGACACTGCAAACTCTAGTATATTATGACTATTATTTAATCTTTATTGGTTTTGATGGAGTGAAACTTGTTAATATATTCTGTTGCTATTGAAACATAGTAGCTGGGGGAAGGGGAAAGGCAAAACTGGTTTAGTACAAGTTGCACTTGAACATAGTGACCTGATGAGCTAACGTCTCCTCTGTTGTCTATGGATCTAATGTGAAATGAAATTGTGGATTCTATATCCAGGCCTACAGCACATATTTAAGCACTGCATTGATAACCTTTCTCTGAGGGGGCCGCAGGATGGATAGCTGGTGTCTAAAATGGGGAAAATATATTCGACAGGGTGCCATCAAATACACTTTAAGCAGAGCCGATGGAACTTTCCATCTAGCTACTGAACCTGATATGGGAGTATAGTATTAATTCAGGACTGACATTCGGTACCCAAAATGAGAATGTATTCCTTCTGCGTTTGCAACCTCTCTCAGCTTGATGAACAAAAGAATTTACCAGAAATATGTGCACTCAGGCACAACACTTCCTTGAAAGGAACATTGTGGTGGGGAAATTATAGTGTATTATAGTGGAGAAAAACTGCTATTCTGAATTAGTTCATAATTTATCCGCCAGATCTAAGCAGTCTACAGTTGTTCCCTTTTTTTGTTTCTCTCCCAATATTTTTTTCAAGGTTTAGACTTTTAAAGTTACAAATGCCTAGTATTTTTTAGCCATTTCCAAGCCAAGAAATGTGAAACTAAAATCACAACACTGGTTGTGCTTTGCATTACCAATTGCCCCCATCCGAGTAGAGTAGCATTGTTCTATGAGAAATCCTGTGTGCATTTTCTATCGGTGTAATTGTGCGCAAGGGAACAACCAGATATTGCACCGGGAACTGTGGTAAGAACTGGTCTGTTTTTAATGAGTGAACATACACCCAGTAAGCACGAGACATCCTGAGTTCAACCGCTGCTGATGTGCTTGATGTTGTATCATTTTACATATGTGCTTACTGTACCACTGAAATTTCCGTCTTTTTTCATTTTCTGGGATAACTGCTGTTTGAATCTGTGAGGAAAGTGGACATAGGATAGTAACTGCATTGTTCTTGATGGCTGCTCTTTCCCACAGTTCCATCAAGAACTGGTCTACCATATGTCAATTCTAATTAAACTACATTCTAATACTACAGAACAAAGTACCTAATGCAACATGTTAAAACTATTGTATGGAAATATATGGTAGAAAAACATCACATCTAAATAATAATAATAATCTTGCATTTTATTTAGTACCTTATCAAGTCATCGAGACTTCTCAAAGAGGTTCACAAGATATACTGTAAAGTGATTGACTGTATTTTGTGGGAAATACAATTGTATATCAATTAAATAAGGAACCATCACCCATTGAATTTAGTAACAATGTTGAGCGATGCAGTTTAACTCACTCAACCTGATACATTCTTCTTTTTCATTTGATCAGCATTTATTGAATGCAAGAGCGATGAAACTGCCCCAGTTATCGTATTTGTGTGCAAAATGTTTGCTGTTGATTCAAAAGCTTTGCCTCACAACAAGCAGAGGTAAGTTGTTTTGGGGGAATGTTATGCACTTGAAAATATAAAAAAAAATTTGCCTGCGACTTTATTATTGTTCCGATGATTTTTTTCTATGTATTTTTACTGAAGACTCAGCATGTTGTGATAACTAAATTATGAAGTATTATTAAAACTTGTAATATGAGCTTAATCAAAAGTTGTATTGCCTTATACATAAATAGTTCTATATTGAGGACAGTCTACCCCCCTTGTCATTGTTTTGTGTGTTGTTACTCTTTGTGAAAGAGAAGTTCTGCAAATAGATGACATTTACCTCTGAATTTGCTACATAAGTATTATTTTACAAAATTCTATTCTTCTAAATCTCTATTGAGTCTTTACTTGGATTTTGCCTACAATTTTAAAATCTGTTAGCCTCAAACAACCTTTTCCTTTTGATTCACTGTTGAATAATTAACCAGAAAAGATGTCTAATTTGATGCAACTGCAATCTTGATGATTGTACCTCTTTTGAAGTTTTTGTTTCATGTCTAGACTAGAAACAAAAATGTGCAACGTCTATAAGTGACTATAGTTAGAGAAAAACGTTATATTCAGGAGGTCTGGATCTAATTTCAATATGCTATCAGTCTTCATTTTAGCAGCTGATTCAGTAAATTCTGTCCTGACTCAGAGCATATTAGTTTCCCTTGATGAATTAGAGGGTTTTTTTCTGACAAGCACAAGCATTTCTGTTAGATGCTCCAAAATATTCACTTCAGTTAATACCATATGGGGTGGAGTTTTAGAATGGTAAGGGAAGTGTATGTAATTTGTATAGTTTGAAATCTACCTGTATCACCTAGTCAATTTAAACAGTGTCTAGTATCAATTATTCTGCAGTTGAATAAGAGACATTATTGTTCCAACTGTACCTGGAAGAATTAACGGAATTAGCAGTGCCTTTTTAAATATGAACCAATGTATTTATCAATAATAAAATCACTAAAGCTAAATGTTATACCTTGTACTCCAGATACTTAGGTATCTAAAATCACATTTCTTGAGAATGTGGTAATAATGGCTCTGTTAAACAGTACATTTTAATTGCTGCAGTATTGGAGTTTTCAGAGTCACTGGGTTTAAAGGGCATTTTTCCAGCCAGTCAAAAGTCCGGTTACCCATGATTGACAGGTCAATCTTTATTGTGTAAAATTAGATTAAAAAAATTACTCTGACTCATTATCCCTTCCAACCTGACAATGTACGGACGAATAAACATATCTGTCTTGCTCAAAGGATTGATTTCTTTGCCTTTTTCTGAAACATAGTTTGCAGTTCAATCAATTGGAAGTGAAGCAAAAATTTATAACCATTACAATTTTTATTATTAAACACACAGGTTGTGAAACCTTTTTGTTATGCATCAATTACAGTAAATTATAGCAAAACTTTTTTATAATGGTAATCCTGTTTTTTTTAAAAAAAACAAAGAATGCTTGAACTAACACCACCTTGTGTTGAACTGAACTTTGCCCAGTGCCAACCTAGGAATTTCAAGATAGACTCTCTGAGTGAAGAAAAAAAATCCTGGTATCTGTCCTGAAATTGCCCTTTATAACTTTAAACCTACGCCTTCTCGATCTATTTTCTTGTTGCATCCAAAAGTAGACCTTGACTGTAGATCAACCCCATTTTATAACAATGTCTACAAAATTGGAACCCGTGTGGATAATGGCTCTTTGAATGAAAATGGCCTCCGCTTGTGCTTCCGGAATGTCTGGTCGCTGCTCACACTGCTTCTGGAACAGACTGGCTGGCTAGTCAGCGCCAGAAGTGTACCACACATTCAGTAAACCTGGGCCCACTGGATACCAACATTATAAGTGAACTTGCACTCTAGTAAATGCCTTATAACGGTGTAGGACTGTAATCACTTGTGTACGTATGCAGCATAGAGAAATGCCTGTGAAACGAGCAAGCTTTTTTTTCCAGCCCCGCGTTAAATATTTCTGTGTCGTATTTAAATGATTTCCAAACCATTCCTTATTTTGACCTAACATTTTAAGACCTTGTCAAGTCTTGGAGCTGCTTATGCTCAATAATTCAGGTCATAGTTCTACTCTGTAAATCTTTTTGGAGAGAAACTGTCAAATGGAGAAATAAAGTGAGTTGGAGGCTTTTAGCATTTTTGTTAAGTTGGAGCTCGATGAAGACAAAGAATAAGTTTGTTTTTACTTTTTGTTGTATGCTGGCATGATGCCCAGTTCTCTTAAATCAAAATTAACTGAGTTTGCGAATGTTCACAAAATGGTTTCAATAAGACTTTTAAACCTACCCTCAACCCTCATTTCAATTCACATTATTTCCCACATAAAATTACCGAGTTTGCCAAGATAAAGAAGAGCTTGTTTTGGAACATAGTAGCTTGACTAAATATAGGACCTTGTTGTTTCAGATTGTATCCATCATCATGAAATTTAGACAATGGAAACGGCAGTCAAAACAAATGGTGGCAGACAAGCATAGCTGGCAATGCACTGCAGCAAGTCTGTCAAATTTGGTTCAATGCCAAGTGTCAAATTATACTAATTAAATATTCAGCAGCAACCTTTTGTAACTTTTCTTGCTTCTATTTTATTCTTAAAGATCTTTAAGATCAAGCAACCAAAGTTTGAAGTATAATTCTAAGTTTTGCATTCATTTGGCTTTTCTGTTTCCCTTGACTGCTTGTCTCGAATATGTGTGTAGCTGGAAGGAGTGACTTGTCTTTGAATAGCTTTTAAGTCAAGCTTGAACATACCATTCATCCAATTCCAGTTTGCATAGAATTTCTTAATTCTGTGACATCAGCCATGGTTCTTGCAGAAGACATTTCATCTGATACCAATTTTATTGTTTATTATTTTATCCTACTTTCTCTAGAGTTAACTGAACAGTACTTATAGTTCGCAACCTGATGGGCATCATTTTTCTATAAGCATTGCTAGGTTAAAGGCATGTTTAATGTGTATCTCAAAGTCTGTCCAAATGTATAATAACCAATGTTGCTTTTTGAATGTTTTGTTTTCCTTGTTCATTATTGCTGTAATTTAATACACAGTATTTCCAAGTGAAAATGTGTTTTCACTTATCTTTAGTTTCAGGCTACAGCAATATATCACTAACTATTGCAAGAACTAAGCCCTCGGGCTACAGGATAAATTACTACGAAAGTAAATCTTAAAAATTAAAAATACTAAATCTTAAAAATTGAAAATACTATCGGCTAAAAACTAGTTAAATTTGTGCAAAGAGTATTTTTTTGTTTATTGTTTGTATAGTGCTTTAGGTAAGAGATCCCTAATCAGGGTAATTAAGTTTCTGCCAACATTTTTTACCATTTTTGTACCATATTAATGCCCAGTCACTCCATTTTACAGTATAACTTGTGAAGCAATTTGAGTTGTTTCTATGACTCACTAATAATAATATTGTTATTATGCATTGCCTCAATTTTAATAATGATAATAATATTATTATAATTGAGATAATGCATAACTTTGGATGAAAGATATGCTTTTCTGAAACTACCCTGGTGAATGGATGTCAATACCAGCCTCAGAGTTGCAACCCTCCTCTACATCACCGGGTTAATATTTTCATATACTGCCAGAGAGCAATTTTGTACGATGGATATAAACTTTGATTATGAACTGGATTCAAGCTCTCAATTTCAGTTTCAATTACGACCTTTTAATAAGTTAGCAGTGAGAAACACTCTTGATCTTCTGAATACTTTACAGAAATGTTATGAAGCACTTTGTTAATCCCTCAATATTTTAGGTGCTGTATCAAACGCAACAATTATTGTAATCCTGTTGCAAAAAATTCTGAAATTCCACTTGGATCCACTTCCATAGAAGAGCTGCTAAAAACAAGGCACTGCCATACAAGATCTTATCCATCTCATTTTGTATTCACAAAATGCCAATCCTTTATTGCTTATTTCGGGCCACATCGTATAATCAGTCAATTGGTCTGGGAAAGATTTCTGTTGATTTACATATGTATTGGTTTTTGTCACATATTCTGTTCCTATGCAAGATGCAAAATTCTTCTATTTCAGAGGGTTTTTTTTGTAATTCTGTGCCAACATTCCCTTCCCTTTGGCTGGCTGACTCTATTGGAATCCCAGTGCATCATCAGAATTTGTTTTTGTGTTTGAAGGGGAAGTGTATTCACTGTTTACTCTCTCCCTGTGTCATGCATCATTACAATTGAGGGAGTACTCAAAAGATCTGCTTCCTTGAGCTGCAGTCAGAACGTGGGACAAGAATGGCCCAGGATTTTGCTACCAGTTTCTTGTATAGTTTAATGGCATAGAAAAATACCTCACTCCATTTGTGTTAGGGTAGTGACAGAAAGATTTGGAGTTCTTACTTTTTGAATAAATAGGATTAAAGTTACATTTGACGTCCTTTTTTTTAAGACCTTTGACTCAAGAAGAGATAGCCGATCGGCAACAACAGGCCCGACGTCGACATGCAGAGAAACTTGCGAATCAAGAGCAGAAGCTTGCACAGAGCCTTTCTGGGAATACTTCCTCAACCAGTACAGAGAACAAAGGTGAAGGTTTTATCATAATTAGTGCTTGTAATGGACCAAAACAGTCACTAAAAGGTTTAATGATATAGATTTTAATGACTCCCAAGATTTTTGCTAAATTATTTTAACATTCTGTAATTAGGGATTTGGATTTTAAAGGTTTTTTTTCCTTTAAGGATTTCAGGATCCATTTCTGTTTATATATCTATTTCAGAAGCATGAATGCTATGAAACGTAAATCAAAATGTTTAACNTTTTTCACTACTAACCAAAATTTCAAATGGCATAGAATGAAATTAATTTAATTTAAATCACATCATTTCAATGAGATTAATTTCATCCTAATTGACAAGACAAGGCTCCAATACATTTTTTTGCTTTTATTTGTTACAAAAACTTAATTCAACAAAAATGTACGGCATAGCATGAAGCTTCGCCATTTGTCTCACGAGTTTGAACCTGTTAATAGTAAAAGTATTTAATTGCTCCCTATCATGGTGCCCTTTGCTAAGATTTTCCATTTAATAATTGTCTTGGTTAGTAAGTTCTGTTATGTCAGTTGAATGTTGTTTGGTTATCTTGGTTCCTGGTGTAAATACAATGACAAATCATATTTACTTGAAGAATCAATGAAGCAAAATACTGCAGTATTGAAGAATTATTTGACTTCACTGTGAAGAATCCAGTGGCCCAATTTTAATTCATAATTAATAAAATCTGATTATCATGACGCTGAAATGATGTAACTTAAATATTTACATATAATTGCTTTTCACTTCACTGAAGAGTCTCAGCTGACCAACCAGGTGGAGCACATGAGTCTGAACTCTGAAGGACGAGAGGCAGAAGACAAAGAACACTTCATCGCCTTTGCCAGGGTCTACAGCGGAACAGTTCGCAGAGGACAGAAAATTTTTGTTCTAGGACCAAAGTATGACCCTTCAGAAGCTTTAGCCAAGGTAAATATTTGTTCTAGGACTGCACTGCACCAAGGTCAGTGCCTTGGGATGTCCTTCCGATGTGAAAGATGCTATCTAAATGTAATTTTGGTGTTGTAAATACATTACAACAGTTGGTGATAAATCATCAAGAAGCCATTCTCTCCAGATTAGAAACCATTTAGTTTATTACTGTATTATTAATTATCATCAGAATTGATTCAGTCTAAATTTAGCTATGATTGGTGAGATGACAGGCCTTTTCCTAGTCAGCTGCAGTGCTGTTATGGAGCATTGATTGCAACGCAGCACTATTCACAAATTCTTTTGTGAATCTTTTGTGAATCTGGTGAAAAAGGTACCCTTGTACCTTTTAGCTCTCAAGTGATATTTGCATGATTGTTTGCGTCTTATTTTCCTGATACTTTAGCTTTTTCAAGTCTTCTCAACAAACACTTTTTTGTGACTGCCATTCTCAAGTTACATTTTAATCTGAAGTCTCAGTGTAATTTAAGTAGATGACCATTATAAAGATAAGCTTCATGCTGCACGTTTTCCTTACACACCCTAGCAAAGCTTGCTCCTCACCCATTTCAACATAGTTTCCTGTCTGTTTAGACAGTTTTTATTTAATCAGACTTTTTGTATACATTTATTCATATAGTAACTGTGGTGATCAAAACAAACGAAGAATTATTCTGAATGATTGAACAAATTTAAACCCCCTCAATGACAATGTGGATTTCATTATATTTTGGAACCTTTTATTGTTCTGTGCCATGAAAAAAATGCTATGCCAGTGAAAGATCCCTGAAGCAATGGAATCTGTGTTTTAACAAGTAATTTTGATGCGGTTAAAAATACTTCAAATGCAATCTATTTTGGTGTGAAAATATAAAAAGTATAAAGTAGATCAAAAAATACATTTTGAACATGGCACCATCATGACTGCAACAGTAGTGTTCCCTGGAGTATGTTAATCACTCTGAGACCCTAACCTGCCTGGAGGGCGCTATATAAATGCAAGTTGTTGTTATTGTTTTCATGTCTTGTATGCTTCTAACTTCCAATTCCATATTGAGCAAGATATTCTTCTTGCTCTTTGTTATAGAATCATAGATATTTACAGTGAGAAGGAAGACATTTGGGTCATCGAGTCTGCACCAGTTCTCAGAGCAAGGTGTACTTTGATGGGAATTAATTTGCATTCTGTTTCACAGATCTATGATCTGCATGTGGCGGGGAGGGGCTGAGGCACTTCTTGCTTGAAGCTTGTACATTGACTTTCCTTTTAAAGCTGTTTTCAATGTGATGAAGATCTTTTATAATAAGAACAAAAATTAAACATGAAGGTGGGGGAAGTGCCCAGTAAGAGCATGTAACTGAACAAAAGAAGTTTATGAAATTTTACTGTGTAGTCCCTCGAAAGAGCCTTACCCTCAAGTGCGGTGCCACAATATGAAGCGATATTGCACAGGACCATGACATTGGTCACATTATCAGCACCACTATGTACACACCAAAGTGAGTGCTGCCATTTGCATTTTCTTTTTTAAATGGTAAAGAAAATTTGAAAATCACGCTATACCCAACGTTTTCTCAGTAGCTTCAGGATGTGAAACATTTTAAGACTGTTACTCATGTGTTATGCGGTCGTGACATTGACTGTATAGGATAATGCATTCTGGAGTGAGTTTGAGCATGTTCCAAGGCAATATCACATCAAACAACTGAGATGATATAAATTACAAGAACAAAGGTTACATGATTCATTGAGGTCACATGAACTTCTTGATGTGCAACTGCCTTGGAACACACCTCAGAGTGTCTAGGTCAGTATAATATATAGAAACGTTGTGAGGGAATAGTATTTAACATGTAAGAAAAACGCAGGAGTAAAAACCACTGAGGTTCAGCTGTTGATCTTTTTAAATGTCTGGAACGTTTCTGCCACTGTTACCCTACCTCATGAATTGTTCCAAATATGCATGATTATTCAAGCAAAAAAACAATTTATTTTAAATTGGTTACTTGCTCTACTTTCTTGATTTAATTTGAATTGATATTTGGGATTTACTTTATATGTACTATTTATATTTATGGATACCTGTAGTTTATGTTTTTCTTTCTCTGACTCTTTAGGTGGTTGAAGTTTCATTTTCTATGGCTTTAATTGTCCTTCAGGTTGAATGAATTCAGTGCATACTTGTAATTCTACTGGGGCCTGTTGTGTCTGAGATTCAGGTGAAGCTCTCTTGAGTAAGGAGGGATAAACACTCAACCCTATAGGATTTGTAAACCAGCTTTTAAACCAAAGTTGTGAACTCTCTTTTGGACTTACAAACATTAAGCAAAATAGGAATACAGGCGGGAGATAATGCATTGCCGATACTCCCTTCATCTTAAAGCAGAGCTGAGAACCATCTCTCCATGGTAAACACTTTTAAAATAATAATGTTTATATTCATATTTCTGTACACAGATACCTGAAAATGCTTCACCCGTTGATGATCTTCAGTCTATCCCGCACATGACTTGCTGTACATTGGAAGACCTATACCTGCTAATGGGCAGAGAATTGGAGAAGCTAGAGGAAGTACCCGTGGGCAATGTGCTAGGTATGACTGGACCGTAACCTCTGAATCCTAAAGTTTTTTTAAGATGACGGGAGCGTTGGACGATTATTTTCTGAGCAAAGTTCAATCCTTCTCTCGCTTTAAAATTGTTTGTTTCGACACAAAATATGTAATACTTGCAAATGGATATCTTGCATTTTAAAGCTTGTGCTAAGATTTCATGTTGAGTGTCTACTCTCAAACTGTCCTAGTGGTAGTGTAGGTTATAGGAATGTCCTACATGCATCTTTCTTGGATCCATTGGGTTCATTGAGAGCTGGAACTTTGGTTTGGCCAAGGAACTGAGCCCAGAAAGCATTCTGCCAGCTGAGTATGCAACTACCCATTCAGTGGTGATTGTCATATGCTCAAATAGCTCCAGACTGGCACTTGAATCTCTTCAAAGAGCCTGCTCACTGTGCAGCTGTTTCAGGAAACATGCCCGTCTTCCCATAACCTGTTTCGCCAGAGAATCAGAGGACAGAATCGGAGACATGAAATCAGTCTCCATGAGCCTAAAAATAACCTGTAAAATTGGTGTTACCAATTAATACTTTTTTATAGTGGTGTTCCACAGGCATTTATTCATATGCAACTTTAGGCATGGACTGTGTATATTAGAAAAAAAATATTTATTGTAATATTTGATCAGGTTGATATAATATTTAAAGCATTTTACTACATTCACTAGGTTGGCAAAGCTCCGGCAGTGTGCTGCTCCTAATCTATTAGGCATAATTCATGTCACTCAGGTTTTTTTGCACATTATTCAATTTGAGCTCTGAAGTCAGAGGATACCATGGTTTGAATTGAAGGTTCAGGGTATGTGGAATGTGTGGGAAGTCTAGCACTTTTAAAGATTAATGCCTGATTTAACATGACCATGGATAGAAAGCAGGAAAATGTTCTGCACTCCAGAATGTTTGCATTAACCTTTTCAAAATACAATTTCTGTGGAGTGGATTTTTTTAAAAATGATATCATGTTTTTACATTTCAATGGGTCAGGAGTGTACTGTAGGAGGACCTGACAGTATTATCAAAGCAAACACTCAACTGGAAATGTAGTCCCTCTTTCAGATTCAAAGAATATGTCTCCATTCGTTGCTTCTTTAGGTTAGGTTCATGACCTGAAACTGCCTTGTTATTTTTTTTCTCTGGTTTGGGTTCCTGAGACTGATTGTTAACTGCAACTGAAGTGGAATGAGCATTTAATTAAGTGATTTGGGTGGTGACCGGACAACAAATGTGTTCAGTTATATTCTAGCTATTTGTTCAAATCGGAAAAATTGGAGGACATAAAGGAGTGGTTGGAGAAGTGGATTAGACGCTGGCATTTCACCTCTGGCATTTCACCTCCTACCTGAAATTTAATCTAGACAAGAAATTTGTCCTGCTGACTGTAGACTGTTTAAGTTTAATTAATCACAATTTCAAAGTGATCAATACACCACAGCATTAAATGCCCTTAATTTGCATTGCATTAATAATCTCATTGATTTTGGAAATAGAAAACACTGGTATGGTAGGGAATGTTCTGATCTGAGAGCCGAGAGACATCATTGAGACAAAAAATAATGAGTTTTATTTAACGAGTGATTCTGTATCTGCATGGAATGATAAAAAGGTCTATTCTTCTTCATTCATAGAATCACAGAACAAAAACAGTACAAAAACAGGCCCTTTAACTTATCAAGCATGTATTGGTAGCACCCATGTGAATTTTCTCCATCAACTCTCCCTTTCAGTCAGGCAACTCTTTCTCGGTCTTACTTATTCAAAAAACTAACGCTGGAGATCTATATCTTGGGCTGCAGATACCAGATTGCAAATCTCTGTCAGTTGGAATTTGAGTTTACCTTTTCCAGTTCATGTATACAGTTCTAATCCTTGCACCATGGGTAGAATCATTATTTTTTTAAAAAAGAACTGTATTATGGACATGTAACAATTGAAGAAATTAAAAACGGTGGTCTCTTTAAATTCCTTTCTTCCTAACTTTAATGATATATCCCTCGTCTTTTTGTTCAATGAAATTGATGATCAGTTAGTCTATCTGCTTGCCAAGCATATTACACATATCTTATTGCGCATGTGGTGGATCCTGGCTGTTTTACTATGAAACTTTTTTCTTTATGAAAGTAGATTCATTAATTTAAATTTGCTCATATATATATAGACACACATATATACTGCAAAGAACATTCTGTTTGGCTTTTTGTGTTTAAATCCACAGAATTGATTTAATTATGATTTTGAATTACAGAAATGAGTAATGATAATCAAATTTTTTGTAGTATGGCTGTATGTAGACGTGTTTCTTTATATACATATATGTACGTGGCAAGTTTAGTTTCAAGGTTTCTGATGCCACCATGGAAACTTTCAATTCTTTCCAGATGTACAATTTTTTAACCATTGGAGTGTGTTATGATATTCCTAATAGTGATTTTATATTAATTCTATCCATAGAGCAACAAAATGTAGTTAAGATTTATTTGGTGTTTTATTAATAGCAAGCAGTTTCTAGTTTGAAGATTTCATTTGTATTGATGTATAATGTGTATTTTACAGTTGCATGTGTAGTGGTGAAACACTATTCATTTTACTGTATTTATGAATAACATATTATTTTTCAATATATCCTTAGAACGTATGAACCATAGTTTATCAAAATCTTTATTTCATAGATATTTTCAAATCCAAATAGTTTTCTTTGGGCAGGAGATGAGGGTTATTACTCTGTAGAATAAATAATGAACATATCATTTATTATTATTAAGGTGATGAATTCTAAAATGTGGATAGATGTCATGGCATATTTATTGTGCTGAAGTACAGCTTTTTTTTAAATTTAACCACTTAGCAAGGTACTTGGCCAGCTAAGACTGTCTAATAGTTTTACACTTTTTTCAATTATTAGTTATGCCTTAAAACAAAATTCATTTATTACTCAATGGGTTAATTTTATCAGCCTTTAAAAGCGATGTGGATTCCTTGGGACTCACACTCAGAATCATTTAGCACTGAAAGATGACTGAGCTGTGTGAGCTATCTACTGAAATATCTGCTTGCAGAATTATTTATGGCAGCTTCTCTTCAGTGAAAAGCTTAGGTATGGTAAATGTGGTTTTCGTTTCCTGGTCCCGCATTCTATTGAGAAACTTTATACAATTTTTAATTTTTATATCTTGAGCATGGAAACTTCTATTTCATAAAATAATAAACTGATAATCAGATGTTAATGAGAAGCAGTAGTGCCATAATCATCCATGGAGCTTGTAGCCTGCTGCAAACAAGATAAGATATAATTTGCAAGATTAGTAAATGGAGAATCCTGCAAGTAGTTAGATATGTTTTTCTAAACTCTGATTCAAGAAATGTAAACTATATTTCTTTGCTGGTTCAGAATGGAACATGAGTAAGAGGAATTATTCCTCTTGATTGACAGAATAAAGCATCGTCTAAGGATACATTTCCCAATACTTCATTCTGAATGAAGGGTAGAATGTTTCTTTATCTTTCAGGTGAGATACATTCCCAGGAAAGTATAGAATGGCCACATGCAAAACAAATTTCTCTTTTTTACTATGCTCTCTATTAATTTGTGATTTCTCACTATTTTGCATGGCATGTATTCTTGTGTCCTTCTTGATTAAAATTGATTTGTCCAAAATTATGGCAGTTTTACAGTGTGATGCACTGAGAAAAACTTAACTCACGTAGAGTCCTGGTAGCAGGGGATGGGTTTTCTGAAACAAGGCCCTAAAGATGAAAGAAAGAACCCAATACATTACTCCATCCATCCCTTGGAAAATCCACTAAGTTACCTACAATATCTCAGCACTCTCGCTTTTAAGTCAGAAAATTGGGGGTTCAAATCCCACGCCGGGACTTGAACACATTGTCTAAAGCAACATTGTCGGAGATGCTATCCTTTGGATGAGATGTTGAGTCAAGGTCCCATCTCCCTGTTCAGGTGGACATTAAAGATACTGTGGCACTCCTGGAGAAATGAATTTCTCCTGGTGTCATGGCCAACAATGCCCCAAATAAAATTGGTCACTTGTTTATGTCTGTTTGTGGGACATTGCTGTGCGCAATTGTGCTGCCACATTTGCCTATAAATACACAGTCACTTTATGTTACAGTAAATCCTGTGAAGTGCTTTGAGACGTCCTTCCAACATGATAAGGCACTATACCAAATGCAAGGATTATTATTATTATTTGTAATAGAAATAAATATTTGGGGGAACCAACAATGACTCATTCATTGATATTTTGTATATCTGGCGGAGAAAAATCCTCCTCTTGGCAACATTTTACAAAAGCATGAGGCACCACTTAGACTAGTTTTAAACACATGACATCAATGATTGTTGAAGTTTGGCAGCCATCTGGAACAACCCTCAAACTTTCAGCAAACACGGTTTTGATTTGGTTGTTAAGGGAGATGTACAGCTTGACAAGACTCTGCTAGCTTCTGCCAAAGGTATTAAACCAACCATTCCTCCTCCGCCTTCCTAATTTTGAGGAATTTCCTTGTTTAGAGTAACACATTAAAGAGAAACAGATTTCTCCCCATCCGATGTATTCTTTGAATTGATATGTTTCAAAGTTTGCATTCTATTTCTTTTTTAGCCTTAAACTCGTGAGAATAGGTTACTATGTATGGTTCGGCATTTCTAATGTGTATTCCACTGATGTGGAACACACAGTCTGGTTTGGATTCTTTTAAGCATGGTGATAGATTCTCACGTGGGTTGTCCAAAAAAACGTACATTTAACTAAAGGTTCAAGCCTTAACAAGATTATTTATTTATTCGCCAAATGTATTCTTCTCATCAAAAAGTGTTCGGACATCTTATGTTACCAATACTTCTTGGTCAAACAAAACAGTTAAGGCTTATGAAGCTAATATCTGATGATACAGGAAAAAGCAAAAACACATCGACTTGGAAATTTTGTGTGACTAAACCTGAATGAGATGTGCAATATAATA